CCCTGTGTCTAAAGTGCTGCAGCGGCTAGTTCTTGTTTCCACACTGTACAAGTGTTATTCTGTGTAGTCTTCCTGTGTGCGTGCCGCCGCTTGTCTTTACTACATGTAGAGTGCAACAGGATGCTTAAATGTAATATCCCACAATTTTGTAAAAAGTGGAGAAATTACTTTAGTAAGCTACTAAACATTCATGCATCAGGGATTTGCTGACTTTCAGATATATATATATATATACACTGCTGAACTGTTAGTCCCAAAATCAGGCTTAAATGAAATTGCTTTTATAAAATCATTTAAATTTAAAATCTCACATGTAAATCATGAAGTTTGTATCACAGTTATGATTATTCTTTGGTCATTCAATCCACTCTTCCCTTCTTCTTCTGTTCACCTAATAACAATTTATTGTTACCATATTTTATTTGTGTGTGACTAATGTATCCAGTACTGATATATGCTGTTTACTTTCTATCAGTTTAAACCATAATGCCATATTTTATTTAAAAGGAAAAGGTTGTCTGACTGCCCTTCAGAAGGTAGGGAAATCCGAGGCAACCTTGATTTTATGGGTTTCAACACCAACTCATGATGTTTAAACTCGAAAATAGAGCATTTTATGTTCCATTTTATGTGTGTGTATATGCTCTAGATTGCTATTTGCATTTTTGTATGAGTTTGTATGATCTTTGATGCTGCTCGTGCAGTACGTTATCTGGAAAAAGAGGATGTGGATACAGCACATTAATGCAAGGTCAAAATTGATGGCATTCTTAGAAGTGAGAGTAGAAAAGGAAGGTTGCATTCTGCGAACACCATTTCTGTTTTTCTTTGCATCACTTTCATCATGAAAATTATGGGAATTTATAAGTCATTATATTATTTACTGAGATGAGGAACTGTGGTTCAGATTCTGATGTATTCTGATTAAATTTCACGTATATTTACAAATTTTCATTTAGTTTTTATAGGAGAATTAACTGTCATTAATGCCTATGTCATGTCTTATTTTTATTATAAGACTGGGTGAGGTTGTAATTCATGGTTTATATGCATGTGAAAAGCAGAACAGAAGCTATCATGATGAATTAATGCTTTAAAACTTAGTCATCTGTATAATACATAAAAATTCGTAGCCCATTTGATACAGTTAATAGGCTGCGGCCTGGATGACTAAGAAATTGGGGTTTGATTCCCAGCAGGCCACGATTTCTTCTCCATAACCTCAGACGGGCTCTGGGGCCCACCCATCCTCCTATAAAATGGGTATTGGGGGCTGTTTTCCCAGGGACTAAGTGACAGGGTTGTGAAGCTGACTGCTTACCTCCATCTAATGCCAAGGTTAAGAATGGTGGAGCTATGCCTCAATTCCCCCATACCTCTTCATGGCATAATGTTTAATTAATTAAGTTCAGGGATAACTTTACCTATACCCTTCATGTATTGCAGGAAACATAACTGCATGTGTGTTAACAAATGTAAACTGGTTAATATTGTGTGAAATAATTAATTAGGAGGAGATTCGATTTTTGACTCAAAGCAGTGAGTCGCAGTATTCACTTGTTTGTGTCTTTTTCGTGTTATCTTCAGGATTAATACCATCACACAGTAAGGATGATTTATTTCTTCGGTAAGTATGTACAGAGCGTAGATGTTTATGATGCACTGCACATTTTGCCGAACATCGCACCCATTCCTAGTCATAGTAGTCTTCACTGAATATCAAAATTGAGTGAACAGCACTCATGTTTCCTATTCATTGTGTCCTGGGTTCATATCTCAGCACAACAACTGGCTACTTTCATGTTTTTTATATGATTTTCTTCAGTCTTTCTAGCCAAGTGTCAGGATAAACCTCAAATTATGCTATGACCACTTCACTACACACCCATTCCCATTCATAATATGTAAATCCTACAGTTTGAGGCTACCTGATATGAACTAATGCCCTCAAGTAAACACGCACACTCCATGGTTTTTAGTTCACAAGTGAACTATACTGACTGAGCGACCTCTGCTTGTCGGCAAAGGTAGTGCTAACTTTAGCAGATAGAAAGTGTTGCATGGTCAGCACAATGAATCCCCATGACCGTTAATCTCAGTTTTCTAGACCGGAGCCACTATTTCCTTGAAATAGCTCCTCAGTTATCCTCACAAGGCTGAGTGAATCCTGTTCCAGACCCAGTACTTCTCAGAAAATCTGGTAGCGCTGGGAATCGAACCCAGACCTCTGGATCTGTAGCCAGGAACTCTGACCACTAGACCACAGAGGTTGTCAATGCCCTCAAGTAAACAACACATATATAAAGTTAATATTTCTCTTTAAAAGTGTTACATATCAGGAGTCAGGATACACTGTTAACTCTTACAGGAAATGGATATGCTGGACATAGCCACCATACGAGATACAAGAACAGGGAGATATGCAAAGATTCCGAAAGACCCCAAATTACGGCAGATAGTAACAATGGGCTCACAAGATACACTGGAAGAGAAAACTGTTACTGTCTGCTTTGGTTCTGACTTTGTCAACATTATGTTTATCAATTTCTGTTGTACAAAAAAGGAAATTGCACAAGTAAGTTAATATAGCTTTTGTGATAATGCTATTTTTATCTTTGTAATGAGCCCCTTCTTCTCTGATAAGGTTTCCTCTGAGTTACTAGAGTCAGTTGTAATATGAGGATACCAAATGAACCCCACATACCCATATTTTAGCATAGTATGAAATACAATTATAAGCATTCAATCTATTTGGACTACTCATACATAAACATTATTTTTAGAAAGTAATTAATGAAAATGTGGAGCTACACAATTTGAATTTATTTTCATATCCCATTGGGATAATGAAATCGAGGAGGGTGAAATGGGCAGGGCATTTAGCACAAATGAGAGAAAAGAAATGCATATAAAGTTTTTTTTTGTAGGAGAACCTGAATGAAAGATTTATTAGAAGACCTAGATGTAGATGAATATTATTAAATTCGATCTTAAAAGGTTGGATTGGAGGGTGTAGACTTGATTAATCTGGCTCAGGTATGGGACCAGTGGAAGGCTTCTGTGAGCATGGTAATAATCTAGTAATACTTTGGCTGCCTGAGTAAGTGTTAGCTTCTCAAGAAGTGCTCTGCCCCATACAGCTGGGTATTAATGAAAATGTGAACCTTACAGAGAATTATCTCTTGATTCTCCACTGTTTAGATTTACTGTAACTTACAGCACACTAATTAATTTGTCCTACACAGGGCATAGTTATCTATTTTTGTTGAATTGGGGTGCACCAGGATATATTTTCTTAAGGTTCTTCTGTTTGTTTTGTATGTGTGCCAGTATACTCTTTGTGCTTACATTCATCACCACCTGATCTTTCTTCTGTTTAGCTGTGGACAGATGAGCTCTTGAAAATGGCATACAGCATACTACAGCTGAACAGTTCTGCTATAATGTTCCTGAACAAAGCACACACTAAATTGACGTTAATGACTGACAAATCTGGCAAGATTCCAATCAAAAAGTAAGTATGTCTCCTTACCGGTCTCACATTCTGGTAAAATAATGTGCTTAGAGGCTTTTTGTTAGAATTCCAGCCAAACAGATCCCCAAGTGGGATTTCTGAAGGACAGAAGTGTAGTTGGTAATATCTCTGAATTATTTTAAAATTTGTGTGGCAGTTACTTTATTGTTATTTGAGTAATTAATGAATTATTATACTTAACAGTACCAAGCAGCAGCAGTAGTCAATACATCATTGTTGAATAATCTGCATATTTTTACTCCAGGTCATTGAGATGTCCATTTAAGTTTGTGATGTATGCCAGGAGGAGAAAACTGAAACTGTCCTTTGTCCAGCACTTGAGTTAGATCTTTGTTTACTCAGACAAGTAGGTACCTTCACCTGGGACAGGATTAGATCCAGCTGTAGAAACACCATGTTTGTACTTCTTAGAATGGTGGGACAATTAACAAAGTCTAAAACACTAATAATACTTTTTTATGTTTCCTCCCAACCTCTCAAATTAGAACTGGGAAGATGTTCAAGCTGTATCTGTGGTTCCAGTTACCAATTTGCATGCCTCTCAAATGTTGCATAGGTCATTCCAAACAATTAATCAGATTCCAAGGCCTTTGTAAAGGTTTTACAGTGTAAGAAACTTTACAGAGAAAGGTTGTTAGTGGTGACCTCCCCATGTTGGCTGTCCTTGATTTAACATAGCACGTTTTACAAAATTCCAGTTCATTTTTACATCATGATTTCCTTTTGCAGTGTGGTGAAGATGTTTGCTCAGAACAGGGAAGATCGAAAACGGGTTGAGAAAGCTCTAGATATATCTGGATTACCTTCAGGCAAAGTAAGAAGATCCTGTTTCATTTATAGTAATATTTAATTCCTAACTTTGTCCAGTATACACAGTTATTTATGTATGCTTAATCTGGTTTCAGAATGATGCATTAAGTCTTCAGAAATTTCAGTTTGAAGATTTCTTCAACTTCTACAAAAGCCTTACGCATAGGGTTGAAGTTGAGAAAATTTTTGAGGAATTGTAAGTATCAAGATTTATATGGTAATTTAAAAAATTTCTAGGGCAGGAGTCATATTTCAAATTTGGAAATGCTAAGACATAGTTAGCTTCAAAATATTGTCCTCATCAGGTGTGCACTCCTGCTATTGCTTATACTGCTTGAAACATTAATGGAAGCTACCTTGTCGACCCCAGTAAGGCCCTGGGGTCGACTCAGCCTCTAACAGAAATGAGTACCAGGAATTAATTAAATAATTTTCCTGGGGAGTAAAGTACGGCGGGTGTGTAAGGCTGACAACCTTACCGCCATCTTTAAGCCGATTGTCTAGATAATGTGGGACCCTCAACGTCTCACAACCGTATGGGCCTTTATGGCCTGTTACAGGGATAGCTTTACTTTTTTTTTTTCTTCTGCAGTGCAATCTTTGAAACAACCTAAGCTTTCAATGCATGCTTGAAATTACTGTCAAACAGCCAGTCCTTTATCGACATGAAGATGCAGAGATCATCAATCATCATTCATACATGAGTTCTAGGACTTGCTTTCAGGCCATCCTGCTGGGATATTCTGACTCTTGACATTAATGGCAACATGCATATGGGGAATTATCATTTATTTTGGGGATTTTGTAAGGAAACACCAGATTTTGTCACCTTGTAACAATCTTCTGTTCTCCATAGCATCCAAACCATCTCTGGGTTGCAGCCGGGCAGTCGATTCTACCACTGAACTCCAAGTGCTGAGATTAATGTTCCAAACATGTTCAGGTCATGTTAATTAATTAAATACAGAGACAACTTTACCTTATAATCTTTGGAGAAAATCCAGACAGTTATCTTTTGGTGTTTTAGAAGACATTTCTGATTTTCGTCTCATCATCACTCACAGTATTCACTTTTGTCTGGAACTGTTTGAAGTTACCATGCACATGAAATCATAACACACACAATGCTGGGAGAGTAAATGTATGGAAGGAAGATAAAACCATAACAGTAGTGATGTTGAACTGCTGAAGAAGCTGAAACCAGATACAAAGAACATACAGACATTTGGTTGATTTGTTTTCAGGTGTGGTGGCACTTCCAAGCGAAGATTAATGACAGCAGCTCAGTTAGTAGAATTTCTGAACAAAACACAGCGAGATCCCCGACTAAATGAAATTTTGTATCCGTATGCCAACACCTCTAGGGCCAAGGATCTAATTCAGCAGTATGAGCCCAACAAGTACAATGCACAACGAGGTAAAAGTTCACATAATTTTTTTTAAGTATGTTGTCATCATCATCTAACATTAGAATGAAAACAAAAGACTAACCCTGGTAGCATAACCTTAAGGCCGCACCATAGCTCAAGCAGTTAGTCGCTGGCTTCCCACGACGGTGGCCCAGCTTCAATCCTGGGTCTGGTCAAGTGGGATTTGTGGTGGACAAAGTGGCACTGGGGCAAGTTTTCTCCGAGTACTTCGGTTTCTCCTGCCAATCTTCATTCCGCCAAATTCTCCATCATCATAATCACCTGGGACAGGCTACAATAGGCCACTCAGTAGCCGCTGTGCCGAGTGGACCCAGTTAGACTCCACCTCCCCACTAACATAACCTTAAGATTCAGCACCACTGATACGAAAGCCTACCTTTAGATGCAGTTTGAAGTAGTTCCATTTATCTATGGCAAAATTCAGCTTAATATAACCATTCCTTTTTATAAATGGTTATCAACTCCATCCAGTGTGATTGATAAATGTTCCCCCTCCCCCTTTTAATCTTTCATCCTTGACATGTTTCGGTCTGAGAGACCATCTTCAGAAGGACATATCAATACAAGTAGAAACTACTATTACGATGTGATTGCTCAATATCAGTACATACATACAATATCATTACAATGCCATGAATATAAAATCTGAGCCTTTAGCAACTACAGCGATGTGCATGAATATATTAAAATATTTATAAATTATTATAATTAGTTTATTTACAAATGTAGTTTAAAATATTTTATTAAAATTTAGAACCAGTTTGGTTCATGTCCTTTCTGCTGCTGCTTTTTAAAAGATGTTGAGTGTTGACCACATTGTGGTTCTGTTGTTTGACGAATAGGACTCTTTAGTGTCATCCTGTCGTTCAGACTGCACTGTGTTGTTAACACAGCGCAGAGTTGATAACCTTTTATAATGATGCTAGCGTGATGGACTGGAAAGAACCAAATCAAATGTAACCCTTCATTTTTCTTCTTGGTCTTTGAAGGAGAGTTCCCTGGAAGTTATCACTTCCAAAATTCTGTCTGGCCCATCATATACCATGAGACTTAATTATTTTATTAATAATATGTGATCTGTGTAAATCACAAAGCTTTTTATTATGTAATAATGTTAAGTTTCTCACTTTAATCATAATCATAAATACCCAGATAAGAAATATTGTTATTACAGTCCACAAATTTGAATATTCATTGGTATCTTTGAGATGCTAGTTCTCTTAGTTTTTATGTTTCTAAAAGAGTAGAGACAAGTCTTTGGATTATTTTTACTGAACTGCTAGTATTAAATTGCCTGCTTCATCTCTGTGTATGCAGTAACATCCAGTCTGATTTCATTTTCTGCAGAGAACCAGTACACGTATATCTTGTTGGGCCATTTGAAGTGATTATACTGTTTATAGCAATAATCCCATAAGTAGTTGTTCCAGCTACATTAGATGATGTTTTCCTGATCAGGCCAGCTTAGTTTTGATGGCTTTCTGAGGTATCTGATGAGCGAAGACAACCCTATTGTTGCACCTTCGAAGCTTGACCTTTCAGATGATATGGACCAGCCGTTACCACATTATTTCATCAATTCTTCACATAATACTTATTTGACTGGTAAGTCAGCATGTCACTGATCAGGTTACCTAAATATTAAAGCATCAAACTTCTATTTAGAAGATCCGTGGTTTGAATCTTGGCTATCCAGTCATCCATGCTTTCCACTTTTATCGTCTACACTGTTTGATGTTAAATGATGTTTGCAGCTGATATCTCATTCCTTAATACTTTACATACCAACCAAACAAAAGGATTCTTCATATTTACATTTGTTTTATGCAGATATCATGTTATCATGACATATATTGCTTATAAATATCCTTCTCCCCTATTCTGTGATATTGAATTATATTTTAGGTCATCAGCTGACAGGTAAATCATCAGTGGAAATATACAGACAATGTCTTCTTGCTGGCTGTCGTTGTGTAGAATTGGACTTCTGGAATGGGCGGACGGAAGAACCAGTCATTGTTCATGGTTATACCCTGGTACCTGATATTTCTGCAAAGGTAATAATAAGTTTCACTGTAACTAAAAGATATTTTACTTTATTCTGTTTATTTATTTTATTTTTTCAGTACATACATTTTGCCTAGGGAAAGTGAACGTAAAGGTTTCTCACTTCTGAGACATAACGCCTTGTAATTTGTTGAGAATCAACTGATGTTGCAGAGAACATGTCACTTCCATCTTCAGGATTGAAGCCAAACAAGACACCATCATGAAGCAGGCTGTAGCTTGCTGGAGGCAACATGTCCCCCTCAAAACATTGGTTGACTTTCAACAGATTACACAGCATTATGTCCGAGAGCATAAAACTCTTCATAATGACTGCTGTGAGAACCTCAGATCTCACAAAAAGTAAGCATATTTATTGAGATACAGTCCAAACAGTATGGTGTAACCTGAGGTAGACTGCTTAGAGCTTAATTGACTAATTGGTTAGCTTAAGGGAAGAATGGAACTGTATATTAATGTTATATTTTTCAGGAAGTGATAGAAGCAATTGCAGAGTCTGCATTCAAGACTTCAGATTACCCTGTGGTTCTTTCTTTTGAGAATCATTGCAACCCCCGGCAGCAAGCTAAGATAGCACAATATTGTCGAGAAATTTTCGGAGAAAAGTTACTGGATGTTCCATTAGAGTCGCATAAAGTAAGTATGACCCACTCATTAATCTGTAATTTTGTTTTATATACTTTTGAATCAGAATTATAATTAAATTTGAATGATTCTTAAAGTAAATTTATGAGTCTTCCACAGAAATGCTGTTTTGTTTTACACAATTTAGACTTATTCTTCCTTCTTTGTTCCAAAATAAGGCTTACAGAAATGTTAATAATTTATTTCTAATAGATGGGAGTGAGTCCCACTCAGGGCGTGGATGTTTAGTTTCTGTGTGTGCATTTTTCTGTGTTTGTGTACAGGTAGAGGCCTTGCGACGAGCTGATCACCCGCCCAAGGAGTCCTACCAAATGTGTAAGATCTAGATTTGCGTACTGTTTACACAATTGGATTAACGTCTTCACAATTCAGTAGTTCAGTACCTTCCTACCTGTACCAGCCAGCCCATTTGCAGCATTGCGTACTTCAGTGTCTGTTTTTAAACTACTTTAAACTATGTAATGTAACAAGCACTGCATCTGAAATTTTCAGTTCTCAGTTTGCAGTTTGTCCAGCAGTACTTACAGAACACTATGCAAAGTGGATTTGATGTATGTTGAAAAAGACCAGAAGGCTGTGGATGTGTTGCTGTCTATCTCCCATTTTCAGTCTTAACAAACTCCATGAAGCAAAGTCTTCAGGAACAAATAGTCGTGCAATTATTCAAGAAATTCTCTGCCTGTTAAGAAATCCAAAGATTCATTACTTCTTTCTCCAGAGCATGTCTCTAGCATCAGAAAAAGTAGAAACTATTTTCTTGATTGCACTCTGACTGTGACTGAGTCTCGGACCCAGGAATAGAGATAGTTCTGTGGGAACCGCCCACAATGAATCAAGAGCTAGCCAATCACAGTCTAGGAACCCACCAATATTAAGCAACAGCTTGGTTCCTTACCTGTGATTGGCTAGCTCTCGATTCACTATGGGTGGTTCCCGCAGTTCCATTTAATAGACCCAACAGAGTAGGCTTCATACTGTTGCCCGATGAAGGAAGCAAAGTCACATTCTGGGACATATTTATTTAATCAAAATAGATTATTGAAAATTTCAATGTATCTCAATTTAATGATGGATTGTGTTCCAAAGTTTCCTAGCCTTAACCATATATTCTGAACCAAAGCATTACCAGTTGCACTATATGATAATTGCTTTCAGGTATTCTGTTCTATCAAACGTTATCCTGTAGCAAAATGTGAACTTAAAATATTTTTCAGTTGGAACCTGGAACACTTCTTCCACCACCATCACTTTTGACACGGAAAATAATCATAAAAAATAAGAAAAAACACCACCACCACCATCACCATCACAAGGGCACCAGTCAAAGTAATTCCCAGTCGTCACTACAGCAGGACCTGATTGGGTCTTCAGGGGGTGCTAGCGAGGCAGTACAGGGAAATGGTGACATCCCACATCACCCTCCACTCCAAGTTCGTCAAAGTAGCAAGGAGAGTACGCACGAGGAGGATGAGAATGGTAAGTTCAAGGCATAGTGTTTATATAGTTGTGTGTTTATTATTTGCTACTTATATTTTTTTTTTTGCAGTGATTGTAAAATAATATTTGTATGTTTGGGTCCCTACTCCTTTTTCCTCGTCCATTCATTTTATAAACCTATGGAAGGAACAGGATCTTCAGGATATCTCCATTCAAGGTCATGCTTGAAAATCTCCTGTCCCACTTGCAAGTAAAATGGGGCTGTCAATGTGGACATCTTGGACATTTTTTAAATTTAATTCTGTAATGTGATAAAAAATATTCCCCAGAGAGAGAGAGAGAGAGACATACAAATAAACAAGAGACTCATGCAAGTGCTCTCCCTGCTTCACTGATATGCTAAAAAGTATAAACTTGTAAAAGAATCGTGATAATAAACCAGTTTCTTTATCAGTCCACCATGTAGTAGGAGAAACAGTGATGTGGGAACCAGCCATGATTGAAGGCCTCCCACAATGCGAATATTTCAGGGTCCTTGAATATACTGTTACCTTCAACTCCACATTAGAGCCCTTTTTCTGATGTGCTGTAGATGTTTTTTTTTTTCTGTGCAGTAATAGTAAAGTTCATTGAAAGTCAAGCACACAGACCATTTGGACAAATATTTTAGACTATTGTACACATTACCTTGGTTTCCTGACAGTTTACTGAAGGGAGAAGTTGGGTTGAAACCAGACCAACTGTTGTAAGTTATGAGCGATGTTTGGTATATGCAACATTTCATGTATACATGTAACTTTTTGTCGAAAGGATCTGTGCTATTTGTACATGATTACAGATGAAGAGGAAGAAAGCAGTAGCGCTGAAGAAGCTGAAGAGGATAATCCTATTGAGATGAAGTTGCGGCTTCAAGAGAAGCCATCATCAGACAAAGTTTCAGCTGCCAAGGAATCTGAGGCTGGGGCTGAGATCTCAGCGCTTGTAAATTATGTACAACCTGTTCATTTTTCATCTTTCGAAAATTCTGAAAGTAAGTACCTGTTAGTTGATGTTTGAACATTTTTACAAATTTGTAGATGTAATAAGTCTACTATGAAAGTTTGCAAGGTGCATGGAAGATATTATGAATGATAAATTTACTGGTGTGATGTTTAATCACTTTTTCAGAGAAGAACCGTTGTTATGAAATGTCATCTTTTGATGAAAGGCAAGCGACAATGTTATTAAAGGAGCGGCCTATTGAGTTTGTCAATTATAACAAACACCAGCTGAGTCGAGTTTATCCTGCTGGTACACGTTTTGACTCCAGCAACTTTATGCCCCAAGTATTCTGGAATGCTGGCTGTCAGCTGGTTGCACTTAACTATCAAACTCTAGGTAAGTCTGCTTCTGGTTTCTGTTAGGTTAATTATGTTAAATATGTTGGCTTACAGACTTTGTATGCGTTATCTACACAGAGTGCTGAAATGATATGCAGATAGAGGGTGTCGCGTGTTCAGCGCAACGAATTCCCACGGCCATAAATTTCGGTCTTCTAGACTGGAACCACTGTTTCCTTGAAATAGCTCCTCAGTTATCCTCGTGAGGCTGAGTGGACCCCATTCCAGACCCACTACTTCTCAGAAAATCTGGTAGCGCTGGGAATAAAACCTAGACCTCTGGATCTGTAGGCAGGAACTCTGACCACTAGACCACAACTAACTTCGCTGAAAGCAGCAGTTGCTCTGTTGGTATAGTTCGCTTGCCGACTCAAACCAAGGAGTTTGTTTTGTTTGTATCTACACAGAGTGCTGAAACTGTATGCAGAATGGTGAGAGTGTGTGTGTCCTGATTACTGTAACAACTTGTACTCTTACTGTTCTGTTTCTGCAGCAGAATTGTATGTGTTTTATGGCGACTAGGTTCCAACTGTATGTGCACTGTCTGTCGCTCTCGGCTTATGTGGGTGTTCTGTGGGCTCAGTAGAGGACACCCCTCGCCAAGGTTCGATCTGACGTGTTCAGCAATCCGTTGCTTCGGGAACGCTCTTTATACACCGGTAACAAGTTTTATGTCATCCATTGTTACTCAACGGCCTTCTGTTGTTCATCTCCGGGGAAACACTGCTTCGTTGATTCTGCAATTCCTACGCAACGGCTCGCTGTTATTGCTTTACCATGGAAGAATCTACTCCAAACACATTACAATATCTAGTGTGTACTAAGAGTAATGGAGTGTTACCAACATATTGGTGTCTTCTGTCATACTTTTTGTTAGTTTTTGTTATAGTATATGCTGCTTCCATTCTGGAGTAACTGCTTTAGACATACAACTAATATTTTATTAGGTGATGGAATAACTCAGCCAGGTATACTGATTGGACTGAAATGGATGACAACTTCCTATCCGAAGGTAACAATGTTCTTTTTCCCTGAGTGTTAAAATGGATGGGGTATGAAGCTGATTACATACTTCCATCTAATGTCAGAGCTAATATCTGAAGCTGTACCTCCACTCCTTCATATGTATTCATGGCATTGTGCTTAATTAAGCACAATGACTTTACCTTTACTAATATTCCATTGTCTTATATCCATTATTACAGACCTTGCAATGCAGCTGAACTTAGGTATGTTTGAATACAATCATCGGTGCGGATTTCTGCTGAAACCAGAATTCATGCGTCGGAGGGACCGACGTTTGGATCCATTTGCAGAATCTACTGTTGATGGTATCATCGCAGGGACAGTGCAAGTGACTGTTATTTCTGGTCAGTTCCTTACTGACAAACGTGTAGGAACTTACGTAGAGGTGGATATGTATGGATTACCTGCAGATACAGTCCGTAAGAAGTTCCGTACACGCATTGTACCTGCCAGTGGCATCAACCCCACCTATGATGAAGAGCCATTTGTGTTTAAGAAGGTATATAAATCCCATACTGTAGCTTTAACTGTTATAGATTGAATGTTCATGGGCAAGTAAATGGAGATAATTATATGTGTGAGGTGCAGAAAGCAAGTTGAAGAGTACATTATGTTTATTCCCTGGAAACTTGGAAGTAAGAAATCACTTTGGAGACATAGGCATTAATGGAAGAATATTAGTATGGATCATAGAAAGAAATAGAGTGAGTTGTGGACTGGATTTTTCAGGCTCTGTATAGGATTTGGTGGTGTACTCATACACATGATAATGGAAAAAAGGCCTCAAAAAAAGCCTCAAATCTTACATGATAATGGAAGTTTGGGCTCCATAAAAATAAAGAATTTGCTGGATAAGCTGAGTGACCATTGGCTTCTTAAGGGTTCTGTATTATGGAAGAAAGAAAAAAAAAAGGTAAAGCTATCCCTGTAACAGGCTGTGAAGTCCCATAGAGTTGTGAGACATTGAGGCTCCCACATTTTCTCTAGACAGTCAACTCACAGATGGCGGTAAGATTGTCAGCCTTACATGTTGGCCGCCCTTTACACCCCAGAAAGTTTCCTGGTACTCATTTCTGTTAAAGACTGAGCTGACCCCAGGGCCATAGTGTGGCTGGAAGGATTATTTATCAATTGAAAAATCCACTTCATCAAGACTTGAACTCATGGCCTTGTGACTTGTAGCATAGTGCCTCAACCAACTATGCTGCTATGTGCCTCCTGTATTATGAGATCAGCTGTAATAACTTAATTTCTTTAGTAATTTCTTTTTAATTATATTTCATTCTTTGATGCCTTGAAGTCTTAAATTTGTGTAAATGAGTATTTCCCAAACTGTACTCTGGCATAACACTAGTGTTCCATAAGCCAGACCGAGGTGTTCTAGCACTGAAATTGAGTAAAGGCAGTCATTTCTTGATTCTTCAGAAAAACGTATAAACTTAAGGATAGAATTTTATCAGTTTTACACATTCGTCTGTCTTTTATTCATTTCTTATCCCTCTTAGGTGTGATTTAATAATAATTACTTTTGTTGTTGATGATGCTGTTATAATTTGATAAGGTGCACAGGCCATGATATGACATCATATTTTCCATTACTAATATAGCTCCTAGTGAAATGATGGCACATAAAAATTGATTCTCAAACTGTTCTACAGAGTGTAACACAATGTTTGAGTGTTTCATAAACTGAAAATGTTCGATAACTACTGATCCATATAATATTTGAAAAATGTAGTTACATTACTGTGCCTTCATTACAGAAACCAGTCAGTTAATGCTCTTGAGGGAATTAATTGATTTTTTTATACCGAGAATTGTATGAAGCCCATACATACATTCTTTGGGCAAAATGCAGAAGTTCTTAGTGTGAAAGCATATTGTACATGTAGTAATCCTGTGCTTTAAAATATTATATTTAAGCATCCTGTTGCACTCTACACGNTGTGTTAATTAATGCTCAGCTCTTAATTTAATTAATTTGTCTTCAGATTTAGCTTACATATGACACTTCTGACACCAAATGTTGGAGACTAATAATTTTGAAGGTATTATCTTTTTGGATATGAAGCCTTGTAGCCAGGTAAAAGTTCACTGATGTTTAGAGGAACATACCTACCTGCTTCTTGTTGGTTGTTTGACTTATTCTTTGATCCTGAAGATGGAATTTTGATGAACTTCTGTTGGATTACATGGTATTACATTGCAGAAGGTAATAACCCTTCACAGTCACTGCTATGAGAACCTCAAATCTAACCAGAAATTCCAATTGGTTTGCAGGTTGTGTTACCAGAACTTGCTAGTATTAGGCTGGCAGCTTACGAAGATTCGGGTCGTTTCATTGGTCATCGAGTTCTGCCTGTAGTTGGTCTCTGCCCAGGTTATCGACATGTAACCCTCAGGACAGAGGCTGGACAACCTCTTCCATTAGCCACACTGTTCCTTTTAATTGTTGTGAAGGATTATGTTCCTGATGGTCTTTCAGACTTTGCAGAAGCCCTTGCTAATCCTATCAAGTACCAGTCAGAACTTGAGAAAAGAGCTCAACAGTTGGCTGTACTCACAGAAGACATGGATGTGATTGAGGTAAAGACATATTCATACAGTCAGTTTTGGAAGTTGCTGGCTAAGTTTCTGTGTTACAAGGCCACACTATAGTCACTGGCTTCCCACCGTGGCAGCCCGGGTTCGATCCCGGGTCTGGTCAAGTGTAATTTGTGGTGGACAAAGTGGCACTGGGGTGGGTTTTCTCTGAGTACTTCAGTTTCCCCTGCCAATCTTCATTCCACCAAATTCTCCATCATCATAATCACCCAGGTCAGGTACAATAGGCCAATCAGCGGGCGCCGTGCCAAGTGGACCCAGCTGGACTCCACCTCCAACTAAATGAAAAAGAAATTCTATGTTATAAAGTTTTGACTTTACTTGACAGTGACAGCAGATATAGCATTTCTCTTGTTTATCTATACTCTTAAGTTGCTTTCACTTACGTAGATTAACAGTTACAAAGGAGATTTCATAAAATTCTGTTTTTACGGTGTTTTAATTGTAATATCTTTCAGTCTTTTAGTGCTTTACAATTAAGTAGCATAATGCCAGTGTCAGTGACAACAGTAAATTGTTTTCTCATATTGTACCTGTTTTGCTGCATATGAATGTTATGCATTATACCCTTGATTGACACCGCAGTCCCTGTTTCACTGAATATACAAAATATGAACTTGAAAACTTCTGGAAAGGCAATACTAAACTTGGAAGATTAACAGTGTGCACTGACCAGTGCAGCTAAATACAGATATGGAATTAACTGTTATCAGCAAATGTGGACATGCTGATACTAGTCCAGCATAGTTTGTTTGCCTGGGGAGGGGGGTCATTTTGTGATGCTGTCAGTAGCTAGACTATACAGTGTCAGATTGTGTTAATGATAGTTGAATGATGAATTAGAAAGGATTTTGAAGGAAGTAGACATGACCTAAATTAATATACTGTGCCAGCATTTGCCTGTAGGGACTGACAAGATTCAAACTGAGCACCTCCTGGATACAAGTCTACAGTGTTACTGCTATGCTGGATTGTTTGGTTATTTGCTGCTATGTATACTTATGTTGTAGGATATGTATATGAACTATGGGGATGATGTAACTTTGACATATATGTGTGTGAGTAGTAACAGAGGAAGGATGTACATGAGGGTGGCCTACTTGACAGCCTTAACATTCATTAGCAGAGAGTATCAGGTTGGTAAGGACAGTTAGTTCCCATGCCAATATTAGAACCAAGTGCTTCATGAATGCAAAGTAAAAATCCATTTACACTGATCTGCAGTGTAGTTTTGTTGTGTTGCCATTGTTTAGATGTAATGGAATTAATTATAATTTCTCATTACTGATCCTTAAAAAATTTGTTAATCTTTGTGGGATCATTTGTATTTCAGGAAAATGTAGGTAAACTTGCAGCACCAGAAATGATGCGTCCTTACCCATCTCCGAGACCTTCCATTGTAGGCGGCTTGGAAAGCCCGATTACTGAGAATCCATCAGAGTCAGATACGGGATCTGTTGTGGTACCACCAGAAACTGCAACACAGAATGAACAGCCTACTAGCCCCCCAGGGCCTCCTTCTGTACTTAAGTCTGCTACAAAATCTAATGAAGCCATTCTTTTGCCAACATGTAAGTTGAACTGTCAATGGTAATTCCACTTGCAATACTCTAACTAAACTAATTCAGTGTACCAGAATCCTTTCTAAGAAGGTGATGCATGCATTTTATGCAGTCAGAAGTTTCATTTCCATATTTACAAGAACTCACCACTGTAATCACATTAATCCACTCGTGTTCTGACATCCTGATGCCCTGTTGACATTGAGATATTGACACAATCACTTCTGCTGTACTGTTTGTATTACAGAAAAATTTTATTATAAAAACAATTGATTCAATGAGAATAAATGCTGAAGCACTTTTTCATGTATTACATCTGAATAGATTTCTTTTTCACTTGCTGTGTGCTAGATTATGTATATCCAAAACAGGCCAGTGTTGTGAAAACATTGTTCTCTTCTACCTGCACTGCATTATGTCTAATTAACATAGTGAAGACTCCTGCAAGTAACAGAATTTATTGTATTTAATTGAAAAAATACAGAATTTCATAGAAACTTGTTTATGTATAAGAAAATATGACCTCTTACTCTGGAAAAAGAGGAAGAAGTAGAATATAGGTGGAAGTGCTGATAGATGTTAACTGAAGGAATATATTCAGTTTTAAAATTATGTTTGTCTTGCTAGAAGTTAACTCGTCCAATGCCACAGAAATTCACTGAAATTGCTAAGTCCTGTTCATTTTATTCAGCCAAAATTTCAAATTCCTGCCAGTCATACTGGTTGGGTACAGTAAAAGGCACCTTGTGCTATCTAGTATAATTCACAGAAACTAAACTAAAGCAGTGCAAATGAATTACATGTAATGAAATATATCATACACAACATGAAGAAACAGAAAGTTGCCTGCAGAATATGTCCAAAATGACATGCAAGAGAAAATAGCCATGAACCAAGTAGTTTCTCAATAAATAAGTGTTGTAAAGTTGGTATTAATGTGGCAAACCGCCTCTGTGGTCTTGTGGTCATTGTTCTTGGCTACAGATCCAGATGTCTGGGTTTGATTCCTGGTGCTGCCAGATTTTTTTCTGAAAAGTAGTGGGTCTGGAACGGGGTCCACTCAGCCCCATGAGGATAATTGAGGAGCTATGTCTAGAAAGCCGAAATTAATGGCCATGGGGATTCGTTGCACTGACCACATGACACCCTCTACCGCAAAAGTTGGCACTAACCTTCACCAACAGGTGGCAGTCGCTCGGTCGGTATAGTTCACTTGCGGACTAAAATAACAGAGTTTGTTCCTTTTTATTAATGTGGTAACTAAAATAATGCTAAATGTGAGAAACATGATGGATGGATTTGTTATTTTATCCAGACCATATATCGATTCAGAATGACTGATTTTAGTGATGTCAATAATGAAAATATAGTTTGCAACCTTTTTGTTGAAAAAACTACACATAATTTTTCAAAAGGTTAGCAGTGAATCACAGGAAAGTGAATGGCTACATGCAGTTAAATATAATTATATATTCCATGTATAACAGTAATTTTTAGCCTATTTTCCGTGTTTTGAAAAAATGAAAGTATGTTTATGAGATTATCTTTCTGTCTATGTGTTGTGTATCACCCCCCAGTTGCTAGGAAGCAGCTTGGTAAACACATTCCCACGGCAACAAATAGATAGTGATAGAAGACTTGTTGAATGTGTCATTTTCTGAGTCGTCTGTGTCATGTTGAGGGAATGTGGGCGATTAGTTCTTCCCAGAACTTTTTGTTGATATTAGTATTTGTCACATGGAAGCTTTGTGTCATAAATGTGTTAATGTTAAGAAACATGTAGTAGAAAATCACATGTTAAGAATCAGGAATTTCTGATTTATATTTTGTATTCATTTACATTTGCAATAAGAAGCTACTTTGACCATATGACTGTTACAATAGTTATGTATCAGAACTGCATATTTTATTGCAGTTAAGATTTATATTGTAGTATTCTGGTTTATGACAGCATGTACTATTCTAAAGGGTTCTGATGATGGTGGATGACAAACAGAATTACTGGGTTTTTTGGACTTTTTCCATCGTCCAGAATTCTAGGTAATAGAGAACATGACGTTTCGGAAACTGGGTCTCTTTCCATCTTCAGGTGAGAAAGGAAGACACCTACTCAGTTGGACCCCTTAGAAAAAGCTTAGCTCTCCTCTGTTACCTAGAATTCCGGACAATGGAAAAAGTCCAGAAACCCAGTAATTCTGTGAGTATGTACTATGATAGGTAGTTATCAATGTTTCTGAGGAGCATACTGCCTCCATCTTCAGAGTAGAAGATGAAGGCAATAAAGGCAAAGTTGTCCCTGTGCTTGATTAATTAAACACCATGGAATGAAAACATATGGGAAATGGAGGTATAGCTCCACAGTTCTTGACCATGGCAGTAGATGGAGGTATGTGGTCAGCTTCTTGCCCTGGCTGCTTTACCCACCAGGGAAAGAAACCCTGGTACTCATTGTATAAGAGGCTGGGTTGGCCCCAGAGCCAATCTGGACCCTGTGGAAATGTGAAAAATCTCTTGCCTCTGTGAGGAATCAAACCCAGCTGAGCTATCCTGGCTCCGTGATGAAGGCAGTATGTTCATCAAGAGTGTTAATAATCACTACACAGTGTTATAATTCAGAAAGCCATGATATGATCTATATTATTCAGTTGCATCTTGCATCATAAATAAGTTTTCTTTGATTATGTTGGTAAGGCTGGACATGAATCAGCTGTTACAGGGAGCGAAGATCTTGTGGCAGAGCCGTTGGAGAAATTTATGGAAAGCAAAGCAGTAAAGGAAAAATTACAAGAACTGGAAAAGAAGCTGGAAACCCTGAAGAAGAAACATGAAAAGGAAAAGAACAGGGTTCAGACACATGGCAAGACTTCGTCACATTATGATAATGATAGAAAGAAAAAGTTCTATGGTCACATGCTTGTGAAGAGGCTCTCCAATAAGAATATGTGAGCATTGTACTGTTGTCACAATTTCTGTTGGTTCTTTCTTCCTAATGGCACATCTTAGTCTTCAGACAAATAAGCTGATCGAACCCCATCAAGTTGATCAGTGTGCGAGACACAAAGATGCTGCAAAGCAGACTCGACTTAACTGGTGCACCATGAATGAAACATACACAAATTCTATGCTAAGCAAAGTGATCCTGCCTTTGCAATATCTGAGTGTGTCTGATTTGATTCTTTAGTGTGCCAGCAGCCCTACACTGAGCTATGCCCCATACCCTGGATACAGCATTTTCCTCCTCATTCTTTCATTGTCCCTTGAAAGTTACTGCTGGGTTTCTGTTAATGACAACCACAGAATCAGAGACCTTCTTGAGAGGCTAATTATTGCTTGATTAGTAAAGAATTTCCTCACATGATTCCTTATACTGTATTTACTCAGGTTCAAGACAATTCTGAATCTAAGATGACTTTTTGTGTTTGATTTTATTAAAATAAATAATGAATGTAACACAAGAATAACTTTATTCAACAAAGAAACATTTGCCAGGGTAATAAATTTTCAGCTGCACCATTGTCTGCCATCTTAGAATTTGTATCTTCTCTATTTACAGCTTACATAAAGAAAAAAACTCCTGCACATCACACATTACTTTGTGTTACCAGTTTCACTAAGGCAGTGCATTGTCATTCACTTTTCTGTTGATACTGTCTTTATTCTCTCAGAAACCAAATTTTGTAGCATCATCATTAAATGTTTCATTATGGTTTTATACATAATATTGTTAGTGACAGCTGGCATTAGCACACATTTTAAACCATAGCATCACTCCTGTATTACGTTTCTTTGACCATGTAGCTTCATAGTAAGCCTGTCACAGTGGCCGTGCAGTCTAAGGCATGAACTGTCTTCACCCGCTTGAACACTGGGATTGTGGATTCAAATTCCACTAGAGGCATGGATGTCTGTGTGCATTTAATCTGTGTGTGTGTTGTTCTCTGTGTAGGTAATGGCCTTGCAATGGGCTGATCCCCCATCCAAGAAGTCCTACTGACTGTATAGATTAAGAAACTGGAGAAGTTGCTAAGGTCCACAAGGGCTGTAGAGCCATACATAGATAGATTAGGTAGTTTCATAGTAAACAACCATAATTAGTGCATTATCCAGCTTTATTATATAATATCAGTAATAATGTTGAAACATTGATAATGCGGGGATATTTTTATAATACTCAGCTACAGGACAAACCTAAGTTTTCAGAAGGAAATCTGGGGAAAACATTTAAATTTCCAGTGAAGATGATAATGTATGAAAACACAGGTTTAAAATTCTTAGGTCATGTATTGTCTTAATTAGTAAGTAGTATAAAGCCTGAAAAGTTCTGTCTTCTAGAGTATAATTCTGTGTAGCCTGCTGAAAGTCAACCAATGTTTCGGGGGAACATATCGCCACCATTTTCAGGGTCAGAGAATAAGCCAAGCAAGAACCTAGCATGAGGCAGACAGCAAGATGACCTTCACCAATGAAGATGGAGGTGATATGGTCTCCCAAAATGGGGGTTGAATTTCGCCAACTTACATGGCAATACTTGTATTCATTCATTCATCAGTAATCTGTCAGACGACAGATCCACAGTCTCTTCCAAAACTGTTCTTCCACTTAATGCGATCTAGAGCTTTCTCCTTCAAATGAGAATATCCTCTTCTGGCCCAAGGTCATCCAGCATCTTCTTACGTCTTCTTCCTCGTCTTCTGGTCACTTCTATCCACCCCTCTGTCTTTCCTTCAGTAACTTCTTTTAGATGGCAGTTACTGCGTAAGATATGACCAATCCAATTAGCCTTCCATTTTCTTATTTCGTGTAGGATATTCCTCTGCTCACTGACTCTAAATAACACTTCTTCATTTCTCACATAATCGGTCCAGCTGATCTGCTCCATCCTTCTCCAATACCACATTTCGAAGATGGCAATATATCCCAGAAGAAAAATCTCATAGTTACCACTGTGAGAAACTGAAATCAAACTTTGTGTAAAGCGTATTGAAATTTCATAAGGAAATAGTTAAAAACAAACTTCTTCAAAAATCCAATCTCAGTAACTTGAACAGTTCTGGATACAAAACTTGCTAGAATAACATTATGCACTAAATTATGCCACTTCTCTAGGAAATTCCTTTTAACAAAGGTGGACACTGAGATACCGACTGAAGCATACCTTTCTTTGCTGCCATCTTATGCTTCTGTTTGTACCTACTCGATGACATACCAAACATACACAGTGACAGTAATATGCTTTAGCTTTAAGGATTGATGTATCAATGCTATGTTTAATTAATTTAATTTTCTTCATCTTGGTTGACCTTACTCAGACAGATTGTTTCGTTTTATCAGAGATGTTGGCATGGGAACAGTTCAGCCCGACACTTCAGAATGCTCTGAATGTGAGAGTGATGCGTCAAAAGCTACAGGCCTGCCTCGTAGTCAGTCAGAACGTTTACTGTCCCTCTGCAAGGATTACATCAACAGTGAGAGAGAACTAAGGGAGAAATACCACGCACTGGTGAGTTCTGATTTTGCACTTCATTAGTTTTACTTTCATGTTTCAAATTTGCAATCTCGAAGGGACAGACTGTTTTACTTGTACTTATATAAACTTTTTAATTATTTTTTTTAGTATAAATTAATGGCCTATTCAGATGCATACTCTTTATAATAGGTCCTTTGAAAACATTTTCTTAATTGACATATTTTCACATGTTGTTTCTGGTTATCAGTGTTTCAAGGAGCTTCCTTCTCGCATCTTCAGGGTAGTAGAACTTTTACCCTGAAGATGGATGCAACAAATAATTTCAGGATATTGGTAACCACCTAAGAGACTAGATGATGTTATAACCCAGAAACTACAATCTAAATTTTGAGCATTATAAAAGACTCAGTTCTTATGTGTTGTTGAGGTTTTGAATGCCCAGGTCTGTGGATCAGTTTTCAATATCTGATCTCTATACCTTTGTCAGAACTTTATATCAGTGAAAAGTGTGTATTTCCTGATAAGGTCATTGGATTTTTCATTTTGCTTAATGCTTCCAACTGCACTGTTGCCCTGGGGCCATCTCAGCCTCTAACAGAAATGAGTACCAGGAATCTTCCTAGGCTTAAAGGGCAGCCAGCACATAATGCTGACAACCTCACTGCCGTCTGTGAGCTGACTATCTAGAAAATGTGGGAGCCTCGATGTCTCACAACCCTGTGGGCTTCCATGACCTGTTACAGGGATAGCTTTACCTTTTATTCTGGGGGTTAGTACACTGTGTAGTCTTGTAGGTGGTTACAGTGTTTTGGAGGAACCTGCTGTCTCCATATTTAGGTAAAGGATTTAACAGTAGATCCCTCAGAAATGTTAATATACTAGGTGGTTCAAATATGACTGGGACTGATTTAAAAAAAAAACATAATTGCCAAACACTTACTTGCACATGTCAGTCTTCAACATACTCCCCTCTGGAGTCAACACATATTTTCCAACTTTCTGGAAGCATCCTGATGCCCCCCCAAAAAAGACTTGTGGTTGGCGGCGTATCCACTCCCGAACAGTCTGGATGACGGCGTCGTTGTCCACAAACCACATGCCTTGCAAGTCTGATTTGAGCCTTCCGAACAGGTAGAAATCACTTGGGGCCAAATCGGGACTGTACGGCGGATGTGTCAGAAGGTTCCATTTCAGTTTCTAAAGGGTTTCCATTGTTTTGGCTGTATGGGGGCGTGCATTGTCTTGAAGGAAGGCTACCCGCTTTCCACCTGTCTTCCGCTTGGATCGGATCTTAACTCCAAGTTCCTTGATAGTGATGCGCCTATTCTCACAAATAAGCACGTCTGCACGATCAGTGTTCGGCTCGGTGATGGATGTTCGTGGCCAACGATCATGCAGTTCATTCTCCACGTGCTCTCTGCCCTCTCTGAAGCACTTACACCACGGGTCCGTGAGAGACACTCTTCCCCATACTGTTCTTGGAGTCTGTGGTGAATTTCAGTGGACTGGACGTTTTCTCCAACAAGGAATTTGATCACAGTGCGTTGTTCCACGCTCCGCGGTAGCTTCTGTTCTCTCATCACTCTAGCAACTTCCAGACAGGACTGAACAGGTTCTAACCCTAACAGGAGGGAGGGTGGAGGTTGTGGCTTCACTTTCTCAAGGTCACACAGCTGCTGCGCAGTGCGGCTTGTTTACAAAAAAAATCAGTCCCGATCATATTTGAACCACCTTGTATATTTAAAAGAATTCAATGTGTGATAGCAGAGCAGATAGAAGAGAACATTAAATTTTCACTCCTGGGAACACCAGATGGCTCGTCTAAGGAGGTGTTCTTAAGTAACTCGTAAATATTATTTTGGAGTACAGAACAGGTGTTGGGGGTTAAGGGTATGTCTTCCCACTCTTGTTTATACATATCACTTAGTGAGACATAAACATTTTTATGTTTTAATTAGTTGTTTATTCTTCATAATTCTCAGATATTCCAGACAGTTGAGAAACTAATGAAAACATCTCAGTGCAACCAGTTGAAGCTGTTGAGTGCCCTGTCAGAGCGGGAGACAGCAGATATGATGCGTAGGCTTGAAGCAGCGCGACGGGGCGAGGTAAAAGCACTATCGAAAGTACATCGTGACAAGGATGAAATGGTAAGAAATCTGGAGTGTTTGTAAAATATATCAGAATTCCTGACTACCATAGTGTAATCATTCTGATCCACATATTTCATTACATATTGTTTTTCTGTTTTCTTTTCAGTATTCTCTTGATTTTATCTTCACCTGTTTCCTTTCTTATTTCATCTGGTCAGTTCATGACCTTCCTAAACTTCAGCAACAAACTGTACAGAGCAGAGTCACTGACGTTGTCAAGCCATTTCCTGACTTTCATGGAAGGTTCATTACTATGGTTACAAGCCTGCTGTTTGTGACTGTACTGGACAAGATGAATTAGTCCATGCCCTTCCACCCCGCTTCTTTATAATCCATTTTAAAACTGTCCTCCTATTTATGCCTATATCTTCTAAGTGGTCTCTTCCATCGAAGTTTACCTAGCAAAATCTTGTATGCATTTATCTCTCCATGCATGATGCATCCACTGCCCAACTCATCCACATTAATTTGAAGTTTCAGCCTTATTTGATAGTGTGCTTTATATTAAAAGTAACTATTTGCAGATTTAGAAAAGGTTATATAACCAAGCCTGCATTTAATTTTTGTTTTTCAGGTTTTGATTTCAGTAAAGGGGATAGTTTGTATTCACATTTAATATGAGTTAGGAGTTATTTCAAATATAGTAGAACTTTCATGAACTAAAGGTACGATAAAATTTCTGTTTGGCTAGATACGAATTAAACGTGAGGTCGCTTCATCCATAGTGGAGAAAGGTGTTCATGAGCGTGTTCGACTGACAAAAGTATATGAGAAGAGACGTGAAGAACTTGAGCGGCAGCATGAGGAGGTCCGCCTCAGGCTTGAGGAGAGAAAGAATAAGGTACGCTGTGATAAAAGTTTACATATGTTTATCTTGCAGTATTGCAAACAGAGGGTGTCAGTTTATACTTGGGTGAAAGTCAATTCTAAGTATATGTTTTTATATTTACTAGTGGCTTCTTTCAATTCTCTGCCCACTGCATGTTAGTTCAACATTTATTTTGTGCATATCACGGTAAATTTGTCTGGATTGAAATGTAACATTAGAAATATTCTCCCAAGACAGATCAAAGGTGCAGCCCACATTTTGTATAAATTTGGATTGTGTACTGCTTATTATACCTTCATTGAATTTGTCTTTGTTAAAGTTAGAGGACATCACAGTAAACTGAGACTGGAACATGTGATTATAGGTCTTCCATTTTTCTAATTTAGAGATTATTCTTTTGTTGGACTCCTCTTTCTAACATGTATCTTAGAGATCTGAACTTGCACAAGATGCAGCCTAACATCCTTGACTTTATCATTGTAGTTATACTTGGTAAAGAGTACAAGTTATGAAGCTCCTCATTATGCATTTTTTTCCAGCCACCTACCATTTCATCCCCCTTCGGTCCAGATATTCTCCTCAGCACCCTGTTCTCAAACACTATCAGTATATGTTGTTCCTTCAATGTCAGAGAAGCAAGTTTCACACCCATACAAAACCACAGGGCAAAGCTGTAGTTTTTTGGTGTTCTAATTTTTATGTTTTTAGACAGCAGACAAGAAGACAGAAGTTTTTGAACATGTGAATATTTAGCTTAAACATTATTGTTATGTAATGATGATGTAGGCCCTGGCAGACTTAAATCGCATGCATGAAGACCATGTTGCGAAGATGGAAGAGGATTTGCAACATCAACACCAACACACCCAGCCAGCAACAGCAGCTGGAGGCGCAGCAGCAACAACAAGCACAGAACATGTCACACAATGAGATTGAGCAGGATAATGCAACAAACCAAAGGTACCAGCAAATAAACGTTCAAGATTATTGTCCTCTGGAATGTGTGTCATGTAGTATAGTAGAAAAGTGCTGACATTTCAAAGAAACCTGCTGCCTCCATCTTTACCCTTCTGTCCTGGAGACAGGCAGCAGATTCGTCCAAATTGTTGGTACATTTCTAACAGACTACACAATGTCACTTCCTAGACAGTGCCAGGAGACCTCAAATCTCACATTAATAAAGACTGCTTCTGATTTATTTGCAGGGTGTAAGGAAATAAGCATGCAGTAAGAGCAGGCAAATGTACACTGTGGGTGACATAAAGATGTTTATTTTCATCTTAGGTATATGCAGTACTTTGTGAATTAAGTGAACAAGCTCTACATGGTGGGGTCAGTAGCAGGAGGTTATAGCGTCTTCCCTTTCTCGTAAAGCTTGGGTTAAAACCAGTCAGAAAAACTCTATGCAGTGGGGTGGGGAGTGTGTGATAGGCCGCCTGCAATCATCTGCTTCTTGGTCAATACCATTTGGGTGACATGGTACAGCGCCGACCTGACAGGTGACCTCAGCTCATGGCTTGTTCAGCGATAGTCTTCATTGATGAATTCTTGAATTTTTTCAACATTTTCTGTTGTTTTGCTGGTGCTTGGGTGCCCTGATTGTTCATCTTCAGCTGACACTTGACCAGTCTTGAAACGTGAGTGCCACTCAGAAACTGATGTCCGGCTTAAAGAAAGTTCTCCAGAAATCTCACACAGCATTTCAAGAGCTTCGGTAGCAGATTTACTGAGCTGCACACAAAACCTGATGCAGAGACATTGCTTGATTTTGCCATCCATCACAGACAGAACAAAACGGAGTGAAAAAGCACTCGTATAAAAACAATGCGTGTTAACAGCGTAGTGTCATGTGGCAGGCTAATGCAATAGGCTTGCAGAAGTGTGACCTTGGCCTCCCCTCTCATCTTCTTTCACCGAGCAATTACAGCAGTAATAGTCTGGGAACTTTCTGATACCACCAGATATTCCACTATTTAGACTTATTTTGCTGTACTGTTTTCCTTCTCTCTTTTCCCCATCTTTAACATTCATATAAAGCAGCATATCTTGGAAGATAAAGTTCTGACCTTTTAAATTCCTAAGATATGATTCAGTGATTAACTCGTTCTGTTTGACCCAGCTATGTAAGCATCTCCCAGCCTTTTCACATGAGACTGGAATATGTGGACAGCCCAGAAACCTAGTAATCCTAATATGCATTGTTTGTTTATTGTTTTAGATTTTTGTGTATCCTCACTTCCAAGTATGGATAATGGGGAAGAGCCTTCATGTGGAATGAGTGGTGACAAGACCTTTGTGGGGTTTGCAGGTTGATATTAAAATGGCTGAAACCTCTGTGGTCAACATTATTTAAGTGGCAGGAAAAAATGAAGTTGAAGCACCAATGGTTGCATGAGGAACAACTCTGGAAGGTGAGTCCTCAAATGAACATTTGCCTCATTCCAACCTAACTCAAAATACCAAGAATCTGCTGTACATGTTAGGACAATCACTAGATAGGTATACTGATCCATACTGTATAGTGTATGTAGGGTGTAACAGAGGAGCTTTCTACTTTGGAGAGTATGCAATCAGGGTAATCAAAATACAATTCTATGTGATACGTCTCTCTCTCTCTCTCTCTCTAATTTATTTTATTGGATTTGATTTTGTAGGTTAGAATTTTTTTTAACCTAACCTTCTACAAATGCCTAATCCAAATATGGAATGGCTTCTATTGTGATAACTTATCAGCTAAACCATAACCTTATATGTTGCAAAGGGTGAAATAAAGTTGTGAACGAGAGGCTTCAGATTTCTCCTCTTATGTACCATATACAGGGTGTCCCAGGAAGAATGTGCCAGACTTCAGGAGGGTGTTCCTTATGTTAAACTATTCCGATAAAACCCAAAACACCTATGTCCAAAGTTGAACGGTTACGGAGATAATGGCCCCAGAAAAGTGTGGTCTTCTGGCGGGTCCACGCACTGTACCTGTCAGCCGACAAGTCTTATCTATGTTTGTCCTTGAGTGTAGTGATGAAAGCTCATGTTAGCCCCATACACTCGCATACCAGAACACGCAGTCAGCAATGTTACGTCAGTGCTTGCCATTCATGTGTCATGTATAGTGCTTGGAACTCTTTTAACGACAACTTTGACATGGCATGCGAGTTTTTTTGTAGTTCAATTTAATGGCTTCATGTCACTCACAACTTAGTTTGATGTTACGTACATTATTAACATTACAGAAACCACATATTCCTGCCAGTTTTAATATGTATTTGGTAATCAACAAATGTGTAACACCTGTCAAAGTTTCACACTTCTCTGGCCATTATCTCTGTAACTGTTCAACTTTGGACATAGGTGTTTTGGGTTATATCGGCATACTTTAACATAAGGAACACCCTCCCGAAGTCCAGCACATTCCTCCTGGGACATCCCAGGGACATGTTTTTGATCATGTGCATTCTGTTCCTTCTTAAACTAAACAGGACAAATTATGGAACCATCTTTCAGTTCAGTTGAAGAAGCCCTGTTTAGTTGTCATTCAGCCCAATATTTTAACCTGGATTGGTATTCAAAATTTTGTCTTAAATTGATTTTTAATATTACAGAATATTAAATTTTGCATGAAGTCACTCATTAGAAATATATATTAACAAATGGCAGTGTGTTTAATTTCAGTTTTATAATGTAGCTATAAATATTTGAATGTTACTAGATAATTGTATTATTAATATCAGTGTGCTGAAGATGCTGGATTATGAATGCAGTGTATGTTTTTATACATGGCTTAAATTACCTCTTTTATAATTGGGATGCTATACATAATCAGCAGTGGAAAATCTGATGACTTGGATAATATCAGTTCCATTTTTCATTGTGTCATTATAAAATTAAGAAGTGTGTTTTCTTCCAGCTTTTGTGAAATATTTCCTATTCTTTTTTGTTACATCCATATAGCATCTTGGAGCCTGATGGTTCTTTAAAGGTTTGTGACAATGGTTGATTCATTGTCCTAATATTATGTTCAATATCATCCATTATGTGAGGTACATTTAATATACATAATGTTTTGGAAATTGGCTCTTTTCCTGTCCTCAGCTGATTGGGTTTCATTATTCTGATAGAGTTCTTAATTCTTTTTTATCTTCAACGTTGTTGCTATAACAGTAACAGCAGCAGCCATTCCTGCGTCAGTCCAGTATCTGACCCAGCAATAAGAAATCTGCCAGTACGAAGACAGCCAGTCGCCTGAAGACGAGTAGAGCTAACTCCCAAAATGTTGTGTATCAGATACATCAGACAATAGTTAATAGCCAACATAATATTGGTATGACTATAACGACTGCTAGTGTTGAAGAGTATCACAGCTTCATAAGAGTATTGCTGTTTGGCGTGAATATGATGAACAGCTGGTTGGAGCTCCTATAGCTTCAACTTTAGTGGCTTTTGCTGCTGTTCGGCACCTATATACATTTGCTTCAGCTTCAATGTAAAATGTTCCTTTGTTACTTCCTCTATAGAAGAATATACTTAGTGATTTAATGTCAGGATGCCAAAATAATATTCTGTAATTATGAATTGTCATATCATACCAAAGATGTCAAAGAGTTTGTATCGGTATTGCGACATGAAAATTTATATTATTCCCTCATGTTTCATTATTGCACAGTGAAGAAACAGCCATTACAGGAGAAGAGACAGTTCCCAGATACTAGGTTATTTATCGCAATATTGTGTTGAAGTATTGGTATGAATGAGTACACATCATCCAACATATTGTTGTGATGTTCACGCAAGTGAATTTTTTTCAGGGCTGGAATTTTTTATGGTTCATTCTAAGTTCTTTGTTGTGTTTTATTTTTATTTTTAATCAAGAAGACAATCAATTATTATAGTAGATTAGTGTTTGTGTGCCTGTATTTATATGGGCATAGTATGAATGTAACTGGAGAGAACGGGAAGTACTTAATGTTGAGGTTAGGGGCCAGACATTTCCACAGCCTAACCTCTCCAAAATCTAAAACTCTTAGATAATAACAGTGACTAGTATTTTGCATTCATGCTCACATGTATTGTCTCACACTCCTCTTTATTTATCTCATACATTAGTTCTAACCTTCCAACAGTGATTCCTTCTTCATGTTTTGTCTTCATGATGTTGACTGTTTATTGCATTTGTATTTGTCTGTTCAAAGTAGCCCTCCTCCTCATGTTGCTGTTACAGATGCAATATAAATCCTCCCTCTCCTCTCTTTTACCTGCCCAAGTGATGGCCATTATCACCTTGCATACATTTTTTATGGTTTCTGCTGTATACAGATATAAGCAGAGTGAATCATTAAGGTCCACAATCAGGCATAGCAATATATTCAGTAATAACATGTTATAGATATGTTTTGTCTTGGAGAAGTTCGTTGCTTGCTTTAATTTTTGCTGCAGTTTACCATCAACCATCATCATTTTCCCCTTCGTACAGTTTATGTATAAGATATGTCTACAAAATACCATATATTAATGAAATAAATTATATATGATTCCAATTACATTTAAAATAAATTTGCTACACTGCTTCATATCGACTAACAAGCATACCAGTCAGTCTCATAAGTTAGTTTTTTGGAATCTGTGATAATACAATTTGTTACCTCATTTCTTATTTAGAGGCTGTGTCAAGTATGCAACTCCTTTAATGATTCTCAATGGAAATAGAAAATGTAGTGCAAAAATAATGACTGATCTTTTCATAGTGAAATATTATATAATGAATGTCCCTTATGCTTTTACATGTCATGTAACCAAGCCCATTGTATACGAACACTGTATCTTCCATGTGAACCTGTGTCATGTTTTCCTCTTCTTTTCTAATAAAACAAAAAGACCCAAAGTACCAAGTTACGTATGATACAAGAGACACAATACATTCATGGAGAGTAAAAAACTTTGTTCTTTTATCATGCATTTTTTTGTAGAAACTCTCGCCTTAGCCAGTGAACTGTTTAGGAATTAGATTCAGTATTATTGTGTCATACATAATTGGATCTTTGAGAACTGAAGACATTAGTAGTGATTCAGTGTAGATGTGGTTTATGTGTATGAACCCAAAAAAAAAGTGTTTGGGTGTCTCTTGTGTGTTGTTTGTGACATGTATGTAAATATTTTTCTTTCTTATGGTCTCATGATGCAGCTAGCAAGACATTTCCACGATGCCAGAGATCTTGGTTGATATTCAGGTTATTCAAATATATTAGCTGTGTGATCTGCACAGAAGTCATTTCCACTTGATGTAAATACATGTAAAATCAGTTGTTCAGCTGTTTATAGGATCACTGTCTGGATTTGAACTTGGTCATACAAATTTTGGATCAGGTACACAGTAGTCATTGTTCATTTATTAATTACGGATAATTCATGTTGAGAAAAATCACCAAATTACGCTTATGGTCTTGACTACATCTGTGTTTATTGATCTTGAAATCCATGTGAAGTGGTTCTGCCATATTTGTTTTACACTATAACCACATGACCATTTACTAATAATTAACTAATTAAAGTTTGAAGTTATTGTTATATAAATTATGAAAATATGATTTAAGATTGAAGTCTTGAATACGTATAAAGACCTTCATAAAGAATATGTATTGTGGTTGTTCGAAATGCTACCTGAAATTCAGTAACACACATTGAAACTTGTTATTTTGGGTTTTTTTTTAGGTGGGGGGAGCAGTTAAAAGAGTGCTGTGGGTGAAGTTCATTCTAAAGTTCCATTCTGTTCACCATACTTGTTTGCTGTGTATATAAGCATTCAGTGAAGACAGTAAGAAATAAATGTTATCCATGGGAAAAGTAATATGAATACCATATCACATGTATGATTTCTCTCTCTATTTTTCTTCACATGTTAATTCAAGAATGGGTGAATGACACAGCTGTGAATACTCGTTTACTAGAATATGTTTGTAACAAACAAGGACTGAGAAAAGAAGCCAGTGGAGACTGAACTGTTCAAAACTATGTTCTTCTGTGATGGAACATGAAATTTCATGCCGGTTCTTATCCTCATTATAGGTTTACATTTTGATATTATCCTGCCATCTCTGTGTGAAAAGTATTATTTATGTAATTATTAATCTTATTTCAGCCCTTTTTTCTGGCTATATGCTATGGTACACAGAATTGGAACTTTCTCTTTTTTAATAAAACTCTTTTGTTAAAAATAAATTAGTAGCATTCTTGCAAAACAGTCACATGTAGATTGATGTATTGCATATTTTTAGTATGGAATATATAACACCTTTTTTCCCTCTACTTTGTGGTCAGAAGTTTGGTTTTGTCATCAGAAAGTGTGTGACTTCTGTACAGGTCTATACAAACTAGACATGATACATACCTTGATAGTACTCAGCTCGAGTGTGATGAATTACTAGGCTAAATGTTGAGTGAGATTGTGATGGGCACATTCTCGTTACTTCATTGTTGTTTCTTGTTGGTAATGTTATTGTTGTTATATTTTAGTATAGACTGTTTGCAGTAGTAGTAATGGTATTTTGTTGAGGAGAACATTTATATCTCCACAGCAACTTAGAATACCATAAATTGTGACTTTCTGAAACATCCCTCTACTGGGTTTTTTTTTCTGTCCCAATGGTAAGAGGGATGTGTTTGTGTCTTGAAAGATATCGGCCTATTTGAGGTGTTCATTTTCATAACCTACCAATTCTTTGTGTGTTATAGAGCTGGGGAGGTGTGCTGTTGGCTAACCATTTGAAATCAATCATCCAATATTTCAGTTCTAGCAACAACTTGAAAATTTTATTTGGCTGAAGTTAATGAAAATAGATTTTTGCCTGTTTACAAATTGTAATTACAATTTGTGTTTGTTATGATCATATACAATTTTTACCATTAACACATGTATGATTTACTATTATTTATTTTATTACTTTATTATTTATTTATTTATTTAGCCTGCACTACGTGTTTCATTCTCAAACGGGTCATCTTCAGGTGCTGCAAGTTTCTCACATACCATTACCAATCTGTGACGATAACATTCCCATTTTTATAAATAGTTCGTACAAGTTCCTATTCAGTCCACCAACTAGATAAATCAGACTAGACATTGGTTAAAATTAACAATAAAATACAATAAAATAAGAATAAAAATCGTACATTTAATGAAACGGCTTACTGCAGTATGAATCCCACACTGCAATGAACCGCATAACATGAATAGCACACATTAACCATTGGCTCCTGACAACATGAAAGAAGAGGGATATATTCTCTAGGAAAATGGTTACATTACGATTCTAACATGGCGAGTCAATGCAGCAAACAGCAGAAGAAATCTGACGAAGCCTATTCGTGGTCTACTGCAGTAACAAACACGAAACTACTCACAGCTTATAATGTTTTGAAAGAGCATTTTAAAATCATTCTTTAAATATCAAATTGTGGATTTTGGATCATCCAGTTGTTAAATTAGTTTTAACCTATTGTTGTTTATACAAGTTTACCACATGTACCATTTTTATTCTTATTTTATTTTATTGTTAATTTTAACCAATGTCTAGTCTAGATTTGTCTAGTTTGTGGATTTAATAGGAACTAACTTGTATGAACCATTTATAAAAATGAGAATGTTAGCGTTATAGTTCAGTAATGGTATGTGAGAAACTTGCAGCACCTGAAGATGACCCATTTGATGTTGAAACATATAGTGCGGGCTATATAAATAAATAAATAATAAAGTACTGTTGCGTTGATTGTAAAAATTGTATTCTTTATTCTCATGGAATTTGTCACCGAAGTCTCTAATGAAGAACTTCTCTTTATAATTGTGGAATTGGTATGTTTTGGATCATGGGCTTCTCATGTTATCACAACCTTCATATGCTCTCACTGTGACTTGTTAATGATGTATAAATGGCATGTGCAATCTGAAGAAATTATTTAAACTTCTTCTGATAGGGAATAATGTTGATGTATATTTTTCTCGTTCATTTGAATACTCAAGAAGTCAGAGGTCACTGAAACTGTGTATTTAAGGTAGTGTTATTGGAAACATCAGCTTCAATTTCAGAGGCCCTGATTTTGCAGTTACACAAGAAAGATTACATAGTTTGAGTTCAATGCTCATTATGTTTCTTTTATAGTATATTTGTAAATACATTTTTAAATGTGTATGTTCCATCAACAGCCATTGTTCTTATAATATCATTTTATTTTTTCATGCCAAAACTATGTACATTGCTTGGTGTTTTGTCTATGCGGTGCTTAATTGTAAATGCAAACATCTGACTTAATTTTGCTCAAAAAATAGTCACAAAGTATAGCACAGAGAAATAGGAAAATTAAATTTCTCTTAAGAAATGTGGAAGAATCAAACTTATCCACAAAACTACTGAATGACACAAATAAAGAACAAATTTAATTGAAATAATAAACAGTTTTGTTGTGGTGGATTCACACTGAAGTAAATAGATAATGTGTTTATTTTTTTATTATACACTGTATTAAGAGTTTTCTGTTATTGAGGAAAGATAAAACTCAGTTGCAGTTTTAAAACATGTTTCTTGTCATGGTACTGCATACTGAGTTAAAGATTGCAGTTGTTACATAGATACACATTGCTGGTAATTCAGGATATGGAAAGTAATGACCATTGCATAGGTGATCCTGTGAAAAGATAAAAGTATTCCACTACAAGTGTGAGGTTCAGATTTATTTCTGAATGAAAATTTTGTTGCAGTGAGGAATACTATCTTCATGGATGTGATATTGTGTAGTCCAGTAGTTCACTGACATTCCAGAGGAACATCTGCCTAGATCTTCAAAGTCTAAAAGTACACCAAACAAAGCTTTACTCTCTAACTCTGAAGATGGAGGCAGTATGTTCCTCTGAAACAGTGGTGAACATCTACTGGACTACATGTTGTTGTATCATAAGAGATGGTACTGTTCATAGTCACTACTGTGAGAATCTCATATCTGACATTTTGTTACAGATTTTACATATGCTTTTGGAACAGCTTTGGAAAATTGTACTCTCCAACATTTGAAAACTTCTTTGACACTGATGAAACAAACTGTGGTATAGTCCTTCCCCCCGCAAATGACGTGACAACTAAACTTAATTTTTCATTACTTCCATTCTAAGGCCTCCAAATGTGTGCATTGTTTTAATGAACTTTCTGTTTTAAATTTCCCCAGAAATAAAAATTACATATATTCAAATCTAAGGAACATGATGGCCACCATCTTCTGCTTATCCATTCAAGATTCTGCATGAATGAATGTCTTTATGATGCTTGCAATTGTATTGTCTTGTTCAAAGTACACTTAACTACTTCTTCAGTTAGTTCCTTAGAAGGGCATTAAAATGTTCCAGATGCAATCAGGAAAGAAGTATAAATAAACTCCAACAGATATTTTACAGTTTGTGTAGTTGCAGAATTTATTCAGATGTTAGTGACTTTGCTTGAAGAACTGATTATGAAATCATAGTAAGTACAGTGGTTTTATTAGAAAATTGTTCATTTGCTGAGTACCTGTGAAGTAGTTTTCCTTCCATATGAATACCTGTGTAATGGTCAGTACTTTTGTTCCTGTAACATTACTGAAGAGGCTGAAAATTTATTTGGAATACTGCATATTACTGTTGCTCTGACATCACATTATTTAGTACATAAAAAACTTAACAAAAACTTATCATGTAATTTAAAATATGTATTGATATGTACTTCTGATTTTCAACGAATAAAATTGCTGTTTACAAATGAAGGAGTAAAGGGACTGTATATATGATGGTAAAAGCATCATTCTAATTGTTATCTCTCAGTTTCAGGGAATGAAGGGTAACGGGCAAAACGCAAACCATGTATTGCAGTAGTCACTTTAAACATGTTTTGTTAGCAAAGCATCACAATTATAATGTAAATATCAGTTGCCATAAATTTTAAAAACAATATTATAAAATAATATATTGTTTATTTTTGTGTATACCTAACTTGTTCCATCATTATTGTATTATAAAATAGAGGATATTTAAGTTTTTTAACCTTTACCATATGAACTATATTTTCACTGTTGTCTGTTAATGTTAGTGCAACTCATGCAATAAATTTACAGAATCAAAATTTATCAAAGAAGAGAAGAACTCTAGACTACATTTCAACTTTTATGTAATGAATCATGCCATGAATTGTTTCTGTGTTCATTACGTATATTAATTCTGTTGTTATTTAGAGAAGCAAAGTTATTCAGTAATATTTACTTGTAATATAACATTTCTACTCTTGTCATATGATGCAATTTCATACAAAATATGACCATCAGAAAATGTGTTTGGTAAAATGCATACAACTTTCCTATGGCAAAGATTAAATCATCATAGTAGACTGAAGATAAAAGTGATATCCATTCGAAAACAAAAGCACTGATATAATATAACTTAACAAAGAAGTCCTGTGAGCACCATACATACATTTTTCCTTCTCATATGGAAGAAGCTGACTTTTCTGTCAGAGTTCTCTGTTTAATGTCCTCTTTCTTGAGTCCACATTCTGTCCATCACATCCCTCTCCTGTAGGTTTAATGTAATAGGTTCATAAATTAAGTATGAGTCCTCTAATTGTAACCCACTGTAATGGTACACATTCCTCATGTTCATGAACATGTGTTTAAAACCATGCTTCATCTTATTTATGAAACTAAGGATACATGTCTGCTTCTGTTAATGGGAAACTTCTTGATTAGACATTGTTCATTATAGAAGCTATTTGTCTATGTTTGCTATATTTGTTGATGTCAAATAAACCTGGACATTGCTGTACCACATTCACTCAGCACAAATATTGATGTGCTTATTAAGTTGAAATATTGAAATGGTCATTAAACTAAAATGTCTTCCTCAGACAACCAAAAAATCATTATGCTTTTAATAAAGTATATAAAGTACCATGAAGATACTTCATGCTCTAATGATAAAGGGGTTACAGCATGATTTCTGAAACTGTGGTCCTCCTGTGGAGGAGTGGGGAGGAGGTCATGCCCACTTTAAGGACAGTTGCCAAGTTTAAAAAAAAATTGAAATATAGCTCCATGCATGCACAGTTTTGGAAGGTCAGTAAGATTTACTTCTTTTGGCTTATTTTGGACTTCATCCATCGTCTAGTAAGTAAAAGACAAAAGACCACGACGTTTCGGAGACTGGATCTGTCTCCGTCTTCAGGTGGGTAGGGAAGGATAAACCTACTCAGTTGGGCCCGTTAGAAAGAGCTAGTCTNTACAGTATACACCATTGTAAGAATCCTTTCAAGTCTATCTCAGTAAGATTTAATATAGATGCTTTTTGAAAATGTAGCCCAACACCAGAAAAATATTTCACAGATTTTTGTAACTGTTTAAGAACAATTTATATCTTACTCTAGATAGAGAGGTGCTGTAAAGTTATTTAGGTTCCTGTTATTACTCTAGAGCAGTGTTTCTCGACCACTTCTTATAAAAAAAGAAATTACTGGGCCGCAGTCTCACAAAGGTTGTGAACCATTGCCATAGAGCTTGATAGGAACCTGCAACAATCAATAGAGTTTCAGTTTCATTGACCAACAGACACTGGATGATGGAATGTAAATGTATATGTATTGCTTTAGGGGTTTGCCATATCACAGAATTTGAGAACCCCTGGGTTTCAGAATAACAGCTTCAATCTTTAAAGAAGGCATTCCCAGCAGACCTGATAAAGCCTCTCCTGTTCTGTAGATTTCTAGTCCTAGAGATATATTATCATTATCATCATCATCATTCTTATTTTATTTTTTGAAGAACATATTAGTGAAGTTCAGATGCTAAATTTACTGAATATAACCTCAAATTTTCACATTATCGCTACGTTTATAATTCTTTACTTACAGACAGTATTTTATAAGTAATGTGTAGGTATGTTTATGTGGATCTGGGATAGTAAAGTCAGTATAGTGACAAGGCTATGGACAGAACAAATGAGGAATCAGGATTCAATTCTTGGCAGAGGCAAGAGACTTTTCTTAATTACATCCAGACCAGTTCTGAGGCTGTTTCCCTGGGTGTAAAGTAGTAGGGGCGTGAAGTTAACGGTCACCTCATCTACACTCCTCCATATGTCATAATGATGCCGTGCTTAATCAATTATGCCCACAGATGACATTACGATTTTACCTTTAGGCATGTTTATGATCTTTCTCTGTACCAAATTTGAGTTCCTAGCTTTCATTATTCATTAGTTAGTGCCATCAAACTGAAAGCTAAAGAAAATGTTTGCCATCTTGTTACCTTACTGTCAACAAAAAGACTGTTAGCAAAGGTGCACATTTTTGTTAGCTCTTACATGTCACTGGACTTAGTGTCAGTCCCATCTCACAGATTTAATGCACTTCCCATGCTGTTGTTACTGAATGTAGGATACTAAACAGTATAATGTTATAACAGTCATACAAAATTCTGTGATAATTGGTTAACTGCTTCAGAACTTACAAATGTGAGAAAAAGGCACACAAGCACAGAGCATGGTGATCTTATAAACCTACTTTCTTTCCTTACAAAAGGTAACTTAGCTAAAAAATACAAAATATGACTTCTGAATGACTTCTGTTGTCTTGTAGACATCCGTTTTTCAAAATCTGAAGTAGTCAGTAGGCTAGAGCATGGTGGCTGGGATAAACATAAGAACAGTAGGGCACTGAAATCATAGGCTTGTTTATGAAGAGAGGAGAATATCAGCCTAGGGGGGAGAAAGTAGCAGGAGGTTGGAAAAAAATTCATACAGAGGAACTTCATAATTTGTACTCTTTCACAGATGTTTTAGATTCCACCCACAAATATTTTATAACTCATATACCTCACTTTTAATTTCCATCGTCTCGGTCCAATCTCATTTTCTTAGCATATAAATTAATTCTTTTGAGTAAAGTTTCTGGCTCTTAGAGGAAAGTTGATTGGCAGTGTTTAAATGTGTGACAAGAGATTATGTGAAGTCTGTTTGTTCCAACAGCAACCAGTATCCATGAACTTAGGAATTCCATCTCAAAGCTTCTCTCATTTCCCTTCCTCTAAGAAGTACTAGAGACATTAAAAGTAAATATACAAACATTACACTTTTTACTTGCCATGTACAGAAATGTGATAGAAGATGGTACACAGTATATTAGACATTTAGCACATTTTTAAAAACTCGAAACTCTGGTTGAAGTACAGGTTATGCTGCTCTTATTTCTTCCACTCATTTTGTACTGTTCATGAAAAATGTCTAATAAAGAAGTTATTCTTTGTGCTATATCTATGTAGCTTCTGTTTTCTGTGTGTTAGTATGGATATGTCCTTAATGTGCTCTAAAGGTTTCTGACTTTAGTATGTTACAATAAATATTATTATTATTTTGGACACACTATGATCTTGAGCTTTTTCAAACACAACATTTTGAAAATCCTGTTTTTGTTATCGAGGGGAGAAATATTTGTACTCAGTTAGGCCTATTAGAAACAGCTAAGTCCTGAGCACATCGCTTCTTTCAGCAGGCCTAACTGAATAGGAACTTCCCTCCCTTATACCTGATAATGGAAATAGATCCAGTTTCTAAGCTGTTGTGTTCGCAGAAACTTTAGGACAATAGACAGTTCCCAAAATAATCATCGCATTTGTTCTGACATGCTCTTACTGTACATTAGTTCACTTGTGCCTTTTCCTTTTCTCTTTCTGTCCCTTCCAAAGTCTCAAGTGGTATAACATGTACCTTATATGATGAAGATGTTGATAATATAGGCCTTTGGGCAGTTTCTTCTCTCTCTCTCTCTCTCTCTTGGAATCTTGGATGTTGTTATTTTAAAGCAAATGTTTTGCTTCTTACATGTAGAAGAATGATTCATGATTCTGAACCTGCATTTCTTGTTTCTTCTCACTTATATTTATGAGTTGTGGCAGTTCAGTAAGCAAGCTCATGACCAAGATAGAGATCTGCAACAGTAATTTTGAACTTTTTCCCCCTCTTAATTGCCAAAGTCAACCCATCTTTTTATTAAATAAGTATTTAGAGATGTTTTTTCTTGTGGTAATATGTTCCCAAAAGACTGAAATTGTATGAAACGTTACCCCCTTGTCTCTTTTATGGTTTGATATTTTGGCAAAAGAGTAACTTCGAGTCACCTTTCTCAGGAAGACAGCTCTTAGAGGAGTTAAAGAACAAAAATTGTTAATATTACAGGAACTAAATTTATAATGAGATTTTCAGTCATACGAAGGTTAATTCAGTACATTCAGTACTTTCATTGAAAAGTAGTCTTTTGAAAACAGCTCTTACATCTGTAGTCATTTTCCAGAACTGAAAGAAACAAGGAAGTGATTTAAATTTCAAATTGCTACAATCACTGTACTGTCTACCATAGAAACTGCAATATGTCAGTCATTTTTGCATAGAATAAACTACAAAAATAAAAATTATGCTATTTTATTTTAGTTACTTTCAAATATCTTGCTTGTGACTGTAGACTAACCAATATGAGTTAAGTATGGATCTCAGCAGTTGGCAGATCTTGACCAAAACATTGGCTGTACCGAGTGGGATTTTTTTAATGGTTTTTCCCACTCCCTCCTGTCAAATGCCAGGATAGTACTTCAGTGACTGCTACCTTCCATATCTTTCCCAGTTCATCAGTCATCTCATGAATTGATGCTCTATGGTCTACATAGTCTTAAGTAGCATAGTAATATAACCCATAATGAATATACTAAATTTACTGCTACTTAAATTGTTGGATAAAGGATTGTAATTCTTTGTACCTAGCCTTTGCAGATTAGGTATTCCCATCTATTCAAATTCAGAATTATCTTTTGAAACTTTGAATCCATTATAGATATTTGATAGGACTCCTTGGATGTGGATTGGTCCATTGCAAAGTCTCTGCCTACACAGGACAATGCAAACATAAAAAATGTGGACATAATCCATGCCCTGGGTGGAATTTGAACCCATTGTTCAAGCACTCAGAGGCAGTAGATGCACTGAAGTGTACAGCCACTGTGTGAAGAACTGTTGCTGCACACCATTTATACCTCTCTACCGACTGCCACAGCTCAACTTTGTTTACATATATTACCATCACTAAGGACACCTCTAATTCATGTAAAATAAATTGTTTCAAAATATTCATTGCTGTTTATGTTTATGAAAAACTATATTTGTTATGTTGTGGAGAGATTATAGTGTGAAAAATCTCAGAGGGCATTCAGAAGTGAAAGGCTCCAATATTTGTAAGAAATATGGAATATATTTGTCAAAATTCCATGTATTAGATAGTGGGCTTCCTATATATTATGTATTATACTGAAAATAACTTGTACCCTTAGTTCAAAATCTGAATACATATGTTGTCATGGCACCTTGTGTTCAAGCTGTCTTATATTTTTATGTGCCACTATAATGGCATACTTCCAGTTTTTTATGAATGAAATTAATTTTTTAAGAGTCCTGTTAAACGAAAGGTATTTTTCTTAGATATATTTTTATATTGTAGATGGAACAGGAAGTATTTATTCTGATAGTTGATAACCTTTTATCATAACAGTCTGTTTATTGCATACGATTATTTCGTGATAATTCATTTCAAATGTATGAACATTTGCCTTAATCTGCAGTGTAACCAAGATTCCAGCAGTTTGCCACCCTTGTTACAACACTATGAATGAACTTCTTCAAAGCTTATGATTTTACAGTGTGAGATCATTAATTTAAATTTAATATATTCATTTTGAGTCTGCAAAATGCTGATCTTTAATGTCAGTCAAGAAGAACAGGTAAATAAATGAGTTATTTTTGGAATAAAGACCTGAGGATTCCGATGAGTTTAAAACGTGATAAATGTTATGTATAATGATTGATATATGTTTAGATTTTTATATCAGTGTTACTGACAAATCTGTACAATACTATGTTCTGTGTAGTCCTTGGCTGTACAACAAGGCTCCTGGAGGATCACATTTTTATGACAGGAGACTCACCATATACAATGCATGTTACTCGTCGTCTTGCTTGTTAATAGACCAAACTTGTGTAGCCTTGAGGAGTTTGTGACAATAACTCAAAGTTGGTTTGGTGGATCTAATGATTTTAAAAGAGAACAAATCTAAATGTTGATTGGTTTATATATACATTTTTCCACTCCTTTTGAATATATAAGTTTTAGGGTCTAACATGTTTTAAAGTTCAGTCCCTTTTGTATTACCTTTATTATTATTATAATCATCATCATCATCATCTTTATTGCCCTTGGGCAGAGTGTTCATTTTTAGGATTGAATCTTATTGTGTGCCTATGGACAAGCATTATGATGCATTTTCCTTGGGCAAAACATTCCTGAGAAATATGACTTTTGTGTCAGTTATTGTGTGATCTGATATTATTTCCCCTGTTATATTATCTACCTGTTGATTTTCCAGTTATTGTGTTGGAGTTAATGCAAATGCTTTTCTCTTGTATATGTTACTGTACCAATTAGAAGCTAAGCAATAAAACACATAGCCTCGATTTTTTTCCATGCTTTACAGAATCATTTAAGTGACACTTGTAGAACCAGATACAAATTCTAGGTTTACATGATATCTTCAGAAAGGTCTGGCACAGGAGCCATATCTCAAATTTGGTTGCACTAAGAAGTCTTTTGACACAGCCTTCAAAATATCTTCCTCCATCTGCCAATTGCCACCATGTATGAAATGCAATGCAATCTTCAAAACCACTTGAACCTCCACTGCTCCCCTGAAATAATATCCCATCAGCTGGTACCTCCATCATTTGGAGAGTGATGTAGAAACGGTTTGTTATACATGACTTCAGAGAAAAAGGTGTGTAGGCATTGTCATGCCGAAGCATGAAGTCTTTAAATGCTCACACTTTGAAACACTTGCAGTGAAGAATTGCTTTGGTGTAACTAAGATCTTTTTTAAAGTGCCACATGTGACTGACACACAGCAAAACCCTGATTATAAAGCCACTATTTATTTTCATTCCTGTGCCTCCAACACTATAAGGATGTGTTACTTACAGGGCTGATTTCTTGTTTTAACACTAACAGTTAACAGTATACTCAGCAAATTTGCCAATATGTGGCAGTCGTGATTATCATCAACCTGTTATGTGAATACAACCAAATCTTTCAGGTGGACCTTGTTAAATGCAGACACACGTGAGGTGACTTGGTTATCCTGGGTGTTCAGTGGCACAAGTTACTGGACACGTTTTACTAAACATAATAAATTAGACAATTTATGACAGAAAAAGAAAAACATTCCAAAATTTTCATAGAGTCTGTGGTGTTCAGAAATATTAATAATTCGCAAATTTACGATTTAAAAAAAGTAAAGTTTTGAATGTATCCGAGATTTTAAATATTTCGTAGATTCAATAATTTTGAGAACATACCAAAATATAATAAATATGAATAATAATAATGAAAAAATTGTCCTCTAATAAACTCGGGTTGATGGGCCAATTAACATGTCCTACCCTGATATAACACTGACCTACTTCAATGAGCACGTGTATGCGTAATACCCCACTGCGCAAACCTAACCTAACCTTAGCCAATCTAACGAAGCTCTGCCCAAACAAGTGGTTTGATGCGACAACCCAACCCAACAATATAACGAGTCCAAACTTGTGGTGGATGCGCAGTAGTCTACTGCGCAAACCTAACCTAGCCTAAGCAATTCTCACCAAGCTCTGCCGGAACAGGTACGTGCGCAATGGTCTGATGCGACAACCCAACCCAACAATATAACCAGTCCAAGCTTGATTGAATAGAAAGAGGTGTGATTTCTTTGACTGATCATAATGCATATATATATTTTCAACCTATATTATATTTCCCAGGGTCTGTTAACATACATCATGTTAGACCCGTATTATGTGGTAGCAGTGTCGCGCTCACCTCACGAGTTATCGAGCCCACGATCGTCTTAATACAACTAACTGAAAACTAAAAATTATGGTGTTCTGCTGGCCTTCAGCAGCATACTATACATACCAATTTTGGTGAAGATCGGTCCACTGGGTCACGAGCGGATATGGATGGATTACACAATGCCGGCGCAGTATTTCTACCATGCCCTAGGATACTGATACTTTATAATAAATATACACAATGACTAATGTGCAATTAAAAATGTATGCAAATTATATGCCGTAGTCGATCTGTTTTTCGATCCTTGTTGTTGCTGTTGTTGCCACATTCAGAGGTTATGTGCACCTGCAAGACGTTATATAACATCCACAAGCCCTTCAGACACAATATTTTTCACCGTCACGCTCTCTTTCTTTGCTTCTGACGAGCGAGCTCCTCGTCCATTATTTGGATTATCTGGTTCTTTCATGGACTTCATGGATAAGTGAAATTATTTGCTTTCACGTACTTCCAGACATCAGGGTCGTCAGTATCTGTACGATCTGTATCGATCTGTATTGCCCCGATCACTGTGTCTCACATCTGTATTTTGTGATCCGTGCTTATAAGACAGCTATTAATAGTCGTGCAAGAAGAATTAATTTCAGTATCCGTGCATGTTGTGCACTTATCTTCGTTAGATTATATGTCTGCTCCATCCTGAAATGGTATGCAGTCGGCGTTATCGAGGAATCTTCAATTCGTATTTCCAATGTTTGCACCACATCAATCCTTCTGTTGTTGTGTTGGCTGTCTGGAGCTGTCTTGAGTGGCCGTACATGATTGGTTAACGTGGATTGACAGAGCGTGATTACGGTTAGGCTGATTAAGTTGTGTGATACGTGTTAGGAATAGAATATATTGCGTTGAAATACATGGAAGAGTAATGCGCGACTTCAGATGGTATTATCGTTTTACGTTGATTTCGAATATTGTATTCAATTTTATTGTATTAATTCAAGGAACTGATGTTAAAGGTTTCGATGACACAGTGTTATTCAAAATCAATTGGCCTGGACGCAGTGGAAATGATTTACTCGTAAGTAAATGCTAGACAGTAGAAACGAAGTGAATGTTCGTAAATGGAGTTTCAGAAGTATATGAGAAAAAGATTGAATGATAGACTGGTGTAGGGTGTCGGTTAATAAATTTAATGTCACGTTTTGATGTATATGTAAGAATGGGATCAGCCTTATATACCTTTGTCATTTTGGTGACACTTTGGAGATTCCAAGCAGTGGCAAGCTTGTTTGCTGCCAAGTGTCCAAGTTTTATTGTCTGCCAGATCATATTTTCCCTTCCGGTTTTTCTTGTTGAGATCGGAATATTCTGCATGGCTTATTTTGTTATTTCAGGAAACATCAGATGCAGAACCACTTTTGGTTACAACTGCAAACAATGAGAGATACAAATGTCTGTTACCACATTTCCAAGAAAAGGAAAAGGTATGGTTACATTTTGTACATCAGTATGTTTTCCAGTTGAGGATTGCCGATTATTTATTTATATATTTTAGACTGTTGATCGCATATCAGATTGTCAGTAAGAAGTTAAAAGGACATGGGTCCTGCTCATGAAGAACGCACGTAAAATCCACAGTTTAAAATAATGACAGTTGCATGAACAGAATGAGGAAAATGTAATACAAAAATTCATAATTTTTCCTGCTATAGTGGGATTAATAGAAATGTCTAAAATACACTAAACTGAAACATCTTCAGGATGAAGATGTCTATGGTCTCTACTCTCTCCTAGTCAGTTGAGATAATGGGTTAGCCATATATGATTTATAGTTACATACATGTTCATGAAAATTGGTTATTATGTCAGTGTATCTCATAATGTATTGTATTTGAGCATTCTGTTGCAATAGTTGAGCCCTTAACGTATATGTATAATCAAGTGTTGTAAATGCAGCATGTTCATATCTTGTTGTTTAGGTCCCATGGGTTCATCATTGGGTATATATGCTGATTCATATAAATTTCTGCACTTTATAGCTTGTAAAATATAGAAATATATAAACATTTAGACTTACACAGTGTTTCCATGAAATATTAAATGCAGAATAACAATTTATACAAAACAGTATATATACCTGATGATGGCCCTAGGTGGATATTACATCTCTTAAATATGTATGAAAACATGTACTAAGTAGTATTTGAACCAACAAGCTACTAAAGTGTTGCAGTTACAATATTGTCGCGTGCCGGGGATCCGGAAGGTATATTTCTATCGAAATGCAATAACAGTGGGCCATTGCCTATGAGTACCTTAAGCAACAAACGCATTTCCTCAGAGATAAAAGGACAACAGAGGGTTCGTCGCATGACAGCAGCCGAGACCAAAGGCTCTTACATGTTGTGCTATATTCTGTCCAAGATCAGGTTGTAAAAGTCCAGCTTCAAAGGGACCAGACAGTTTTTTGACAGTTGAGTTTAGTTTGTATTGAGTTTGTATTCGACTCTAGCAAGAAGAGTTGTTCACCAAGGGACCAAGACACTTGACTTGAGGATAGCGGTGCAGGTAATTATAACTGAAGAAGGAAACGTTATAAGTGATCATAATTGTATTTGCATGTGTAAAAGCAAGTGTCCAATAAATGTATTCACCAAATCTGAGACCTCTGTGAATTTATTTGTTGCGTTACATAGGCAACACGCTACAGTATTGTGTTATACATTTATATGAAATGTTCTCCCATGATTGATAGATCCTCATTTGGCTGTGATTATTTCTGTATACATATTAAGTAGTCTGCAAGCTTGAAAAAGAGAAAGGCAAGTTTAATTTCAACCTGTCTCATCACCAGAAATTAGTTTGATAATCATTCAGCAAATGTATTATTTTCAGGATTCATTCGATACATACAGTGGTCCAAATCCTCTGGAACTTCTAGCCCCACTGTTTACTCAGTCATCGTGTTCTTACAAGGTATGTAACTAAGTATGGTCATGTAGGAAGTATCTGAAACATTTTTAGCAAATGTGTGGTGTCTATTGTGGAGTTCCACTCTCATAAAATCCTTTCTTCTCACCAGTTTTTTTTTTTTGTGTGTGTATTTGGTCTTACCAGAGTTGAAGATTTCTATAATCTGGGATATAATGCCATCTTGTCTGTTGAACATAACGTTCCCCTTGTTTGGGGAAATTATTGTCTCACTCTTGGTAGGCACTTAAAATCTTGATTTTGTAGCCAACAGCATTGGGTGCCACATCTTCTGTAGCTGACTGACTCCAGTACGAACCTTATGTATCCACAGTCATTTCTCAGCAGGGTAATTAAGAGTTCTGGTAGAGCAAGAATTTATCTCAGGTAATACTGTGTGTGAACCTTAGTGGACACAGTATAGGTCAAGAAATTTCACAGATCATGACAACATCAATTGAAGCACCTGCTAACAGTTTGTGTCTTAATTGATAGACATGCAGCCATGCAGAATGCTGCCGTGATTGCCTCATACAGAGGGGGTGTGGGAAAGTTTGTATGATCTAGGGCAGTCCTGTCCAGTGTGGCGCCCGTGGTATATTTTTCTGGCACCCTCCATAACCAAATACAATTGAGCCGATTTTTAATATTAATTCAAATTGTAAGACAAGAGACATTTTTGAACATCTGAGTACTGTTAAATATTTTCGAAAAATGTTATTATTATTATTATTATTATTACTACTATTGATGATGATGATGATTATTATTATTATTATTAGTAGTAGTAGTAGTAGTAGTAGTAGTAGTAGTGTGCGGTGGCGCCCGCACCTCCATAGGCATCAGCGAATTGTGCCTGAGTACATAAGAACGTTGGACAGCACTGCTCTAGGGTGTGAACATTCATATATTTCTGTTATCTTTTACCAGTTGGAGTCGTATTGGACATATGAAGTCTGCCATGGTCGATATATAAGGCAGTATCATGAAGAACGTGAAGGAAAGAAGGTAAAATTGCAGGAATATTACCTGGGAAAGTGGAACAAAACACAGTTTGCTAAACTCAGTAAGTGCATATCTTTATTTAGTAATGTGTATGGATCTAATATTGAATAAGCAGATATAGAAAGATGATTATTTGTGAACTATGATCTAATTTAAATAGTTCTCAATCATCTTAACCATGGCTTCCATAAAGTAAAAGTAAAGTAAAGGTGTCCCCGTGTCAGGCCGTGGAGGCCTATAGGGTTGTGAGATGTTGAGGTTCCCACATTTTCTAGACAGTCGACTGATAGATGGTGACAAGGTTGTCAGCCTTACACGCCTGCTGCCCTTTACCCCTAAGAATATTCCTGGAAGAATATCCCTGGTACTCGTTTCTGTTAGAGGCTGAGTCGACCCCAGGACCATAGTGTGGCTGGAAGGATTAGGTAAATTAAAAAAAAAAATTCCACCTCATCGGGATTCAATCCCACGACCTTCCAGCTTCTGGCATCGTGCCTCAACCAACTACACTACCGTATCAAGGGAATGTATGCAGTTATTTCTTCCCAGGACTTCTAGTTTATTAATACTTTTGTAAGAAAGGAATATCTTTCCATGAATCTCGCTACAGTACAGAAGAGCTGCATGTTGTTCGCAAGCCAGTTTTGCCAAATCTGTTATATAGTTAATGAGGTATGGTAAAAGGTAAAATTGTCCCTGTGCATAACTAATTAAGCACTACGACATGAAGATGTATGAGGGAGTGGATGTATAGATCCACATTTTTTTGACCTCGGCACTAGTTGGAGTTGAGTGGTCAGCTTCACTCCCCGGCCGCTTTACCCCCCAAGAAAGAGCTATCGTTACCCATTGTGTAGGAGGTTGGGTGGACCCCAGAGCCAGTCTTGACAATATGGAGAAGTGAAAATTCTTAACCCTACCGGGACTTGAACTCTGACCTCTTTGTCATCCAGCCCGTAGCCAGTCTTGATACCGACTACACTATCCTGGCCCCATTGAGGTATGGCATGATTGTAAATAATGTATTGGGGTGGGATATGGATTAAATAGACATGGCCCATTTTGAGGCATTTGTTCTAGTATTGATCTTCACAGACTGAGGAAATGTTACCATACTTAAGGTACCTGATACTCAGCTGGTATAGGGACCACGTACCTTCCAAATGTCAATGAAATGCGTTGCTGCTGTGCCAGGTGCAATAACAGCATAGCCTGGAGTGACAAGATTTTGCTATAAGTAATGGGACACCACACATGAGAATGTCAGAGCTCTGAATATTCAGAATTTTTATTTCATGCATTATAATTATACATATTTTTATTATGACTGTTTCATTATATCACTTTTCTCACTGTGTGTATGCAGATGAGGAGCAAAGTCGATTGGAACATCAAGGCAAAAATCTCAGAGCAGACACCAAGGCTTCATTCACACGTGAGGAAGAAGTTCCAGTGAAGAAAATAGATGGGCTGAACATGCCGTATCTGCAAGTGAACATGAGTGATGGCACACTATGTGATCTGAATGGCAAACCACGGCTCACCAGAGTTCTGTATGTGTGCTATAGCCATAGTAAACATGACATCTTCTCACTCAAAGAAACTTCTATCTGTGAGTATGAAGTCATCATTCTCTCGCCACTACTCTGCCAGCATCCAAAATACAAGTAAGTCCATCATCTTTTAATCTGTTATTTTATCAGCATAGATATTAGTGTGGCATGTAGCAAAGTTGGGAGAGGTGAGAAATATGTACAGAATTTTAGTCACAAAACCTGAAGCACACCATCCAGAAAACTTTAGACTTGTATTCTAGAGATTTTGAATTTCAGCTGCAACTCCAGCTATCCTTAATGAGTACCTCTAATTTTTTTTTATAAATATTTCTGTTTCATTTTAATGAACCTACAAATAATTTTTCCACTTCAAACTTCTTATATATTTTCCAGTCAGTGTAGTTCATGAAGATCACATTCTTCTGGGGTTTAATACCACATAGCTTGGGAGTTAGGTACCAGTGTTTTAGAGGAATCTGCTACGTGCTTGTTCGGGATAGAATGGTAAGTTGCATTGGAAAGCAGAGGTACAGATGCGCAGATGCGTGGATAAGGGGGACTGGAACCAGGGCTTTGGGTGAGTCAGTCGGAATTTGTGGTGGCCCTTAAAAAATTATTTTGATGGGGGAAGTCAGAACTCTTTGGAGGGAGAGAAGAGGCTAGACAAATTTCTGAAAAGGAAGTGGTACATGATTTCAGGCGAAATATCTGTGTTGAGGCAACACATAGGGTTCCAGTTAGATCCACTGGCAGGGTCCTGCAAAAGGGCAGTAAGCTGAATGCAGGTGCACTTGTCCATTGTCAACTGATATTGGCTCACAGGAAATCCCAGTTCCTGTTCTGTATCTGTGTCTGTTGCAGCTGAAATTGGCTCACTGGAAATCCCAGTTCCTGTTCTGTATCTGTGTTGTTTCCTTGTGCAGCTTACTCCTCTACCATGAAAGCAGAGGCAAAACGTTCCTCCCAGATGTTAGTACCTCACCAGTGTGAGAACCTCAGATGTCGCACACTTATTCATGTGCCTCAGGCACCATGTTCCTTTATTATGCTAACTTCTTGCAGTGGAATTGTTTCACTTCTGTAAGCTAAAAGCTGTTGAATGTGCAGAAGAAAATCAGAAAACAGCAACAGGAACAGAGTTTGATGTCAGTGAAGAACTTTCAAACTTATAAGAATCAAAGTGTAATGAACTGTTGCATTGCTGTATAGGACAGCTTTCTGGCAGTTTGACAAGAAACTATGGTCGGGGCTTCATAATAGCTTGATGTGCATAATGGTTTTGTTTTGCTTTATGAATTAAACATTATGTGTGGATAGTGTGGCATTGAGGCAACATAGAAGTGAGAAAGTGTGTGGAATTGATTGTAATTTTTCTCATCTTACCTGTTTCTCATTTGTTACCAGACCACAAGAATCAGGAGAAAATGTTATTAATTGTCACCCTTTTCAAGGGTCGCCAAAGAGACCAAAGAATCTTGTTGCAATGGAAGCAGAAAGCCTGAAACTAAGACATCAGAAGATCTCAGTAAGTAACCGGTATTTTAGCTGTGAATAACCGTTTGCATTTTCTGTCATTGTTTTTGATTAAATTGAATAAGAGTAGTTAAATGTATAGAAGTGTCTCCTAATGTAATAGTTATGCTAGCCTACTTGATTACTTTAAGATAACACCAGTGGGAAGTTGCATTGTGGTCAGAGTTGGTTCAAGGTTTATCATCGCTTGCATTTGGGGTTTTCTGACTATTACCTGGACTCGATTCAAGGTAGCTTATTCTTTCTTTGAGAGGGAGAGGTGCCTAATATTTGTTTAAAATCACAATGAAACTGTGCTTGCTTCTGTCATAAGAAGACCATGTGTTAGTACCTAATGCAAGTACACAGTGAAAAGCAAAGTTTTTCTGGTAGTGTAGAAGTGTGCATCTCAAATAACACAAAATTTCGTTATTTATAATTATGGCAAAACACCATGTTAATATTGGGACATGCTAACATAAGTAACTTATTTCCTTTATGATGTCGCAAGAGTAGATACTGCATTGAACATTTACTGGACTAATCTCAATGTGTGTGTAATGCATTCAACCAGAATCATTTCTTTTTCTCTCAGAAATTTTTGCAAAATGTTTTAAATTGTAAATCTAATTTATATAAATCAGGCAGTTGGTTAGCCCTGAGCAGAAACTCTGACTTGCAGATTGAATTTGGTCCTTACCAATACAGATTTTTCAGTGGCCCAGATATGAAAGAAATTATTTCCATAGTGTCCATTCATGTAGATAGTAAGATGTTTCACCCAATAAGGTGGATTTTTTCAGTTTACCTAATCCTTCTAGCCACACTATAGTCCTCTGGTCGACTCAGCCTCTAATAGATATGAGTGCCAGGAATCTTCCTGTGGGTAGAAGGCTGTTGTTGTGTAAGGCTGACAACCTTACTGCCATCTTTGAGCTGATTGTCTAGAGAAAATATTGGAGCCTCGATATCTCAGAACCCTATAGGCCTTCACTGCCTGTTAACATGGATAGCTTAACCTTTATCACTTATAAACACTATATTAGGAGCCAGGATTGCGTAGTTGGTATAGTGACAATGGAGGGGCCAGAGTTTAAATCCCAATAGGGTGAAGTTTCTCTTCTCCAAGTCATGCAGACCAGCTCTGGGGTCCACCCAACCTCCTATCCAATGGTAGCAGGGTCTCTTTCCCAGGAGGTGAAAGCGGCCGGGGCGTGAAGCTGACCATTCACCTCCAACAAGTGCCGAGGTCAAGAAAATGTAGAGCTATACATCCACTCCCCCAAAGACCTTCATGCTGTAGTGCTTAATTAGTTAAGCTAGTTAAGCACAGGGACAACTTTGCCTTACACACTATGTTGACTATATTGACTAAACATTTTTGAAGCTATCACATATTTTTGTTAGGTACTTGATTCCAGTGATGTATGCTAGTTTAATTGACTGAGATTTTCACATGTAAACAGACCAACACAGAAAAGGGTAAGGTCACGGTTCAGGCTATCTTGTATTGGAAGGATCATTTGAATATTTCACAATGAAATGAAAAAAGAAAATATCATTCTTTGGTTGAGAAACCAAAGTAGTATGTCAGATGTCTGAATTTCTGCTGTACAACTTGTCCATGATTTCAAACCTTGACCAACTTTCTTGTTTCATATGTTACTGCCCGCAGTGGTAGTATCTGTGAAGTAACAGGAGTTTTATGAAGAAAGCAGTCTTCTGGGATGTGGCACTGTATAGATGTGGTGTTAACCAATGTTTTGGAGGAACGTATCGCCTCCATCTTTAAGGTAGAATGAAAAATAAAAAATCCGCAAGCGAAGAGACCGTGAGAACCGGTACAAGCTTGTCTCGCGGTCTGTTCGCTTGCGAATTTCTTATTTTTCATTCTACCTTGAAGATGGAGGCGATACATTCCTCTGAAACGTCGGTTAAAACCACATCTACATGGTGCCACATCCCAGAAGACTGCTTTCTTCATAGTCACCGCCGTGAAAACCTCAAGTCTTACAACAGGAGTTTTGTTTGTGCTTTCATATTTTGTTTTTAATTGCATACATTTCCAATTTTCATTTAGTTTATGTATTTCTATATACTTCATTAATTTTGCATTAGTATGCACAGTATTGTCTCTCCATTAGGCATGTTTGTTAAATAGCTTTAGTGAAGCCTAGAGACTTTATTCACACTTTACTTTGTTACACATTAATAGTCTGCTACATTACAATTAATGAGTGATGTTTCCAACAGGATGAAAAGTTGCAGAAGGTTTATGCTGTTTTCTCCATAGACAGGAATGGAGAAGGCCAGGTTGGTTATGATATAGTTTTAAAAAGGGGATAATCTGTCTTACATAACTTCATGCTTCTTAATTTTCTCATAAATTTTATACTAATTTACTGATTTTTTCTGCTACCCTGGAATGGGAGGTGTGATTGATACATGCGCTGTTTGTTGGTGATGGTGTTCAGAATTTTATGTCAAAACTGAATTTTGCATGTTTCATTTTTTCTGGTGAATAATAACCTATTTTGAAAGTAGATTAATACAGGTTTTATTATTGTCATGTTTAGGGTTGTACCCGTGACGAAATGACAGGTTCTAGTTAGGATGATCGGATTTATTAGCAACTCTGTTACAACAACTGCAAATCATTCTTTTACAGATAATCATAAGCAAAAGTGTTAGGATGCTATCACAAAAATGACGCAAACTTTATTTCCTAAAGAAAACCGGCAAATAAATGGTACTGTATGTGCTTTGGATATGGCGAGGCTTTCAATAAGATATAACAAGGAGCGCAACAGTAGCTGGCTCTGCTGGGATTTCATCTAGTAATTCATATTGCAGAGAAAGAATACTGACTTGGTTTTCTTTCACCATACATTATCATCCTTACAGCACATTTATTTGTACAATTGTAAGTCAATAATCAGTTACAAATGGACATAGAACTTAAACAAATAAGAGTACTGATCTGAAAAATGCTTTTATTTCTCAACACAATCTCCCTGTACATTGAGGCACTTGTCCCATCATTTCACAAGCCTCTGAAAACCAGCAGCATAAAATTCTTTGGGCTGCTGTCAGAACCAGGCGGTGACTTCCCTTTCTACAGCTTCATCGTTGGGAAAATGTTCAGCCGAAAGGTGATGTTTAAGAGGGCCAAACAAATGGAGGTCTCTTGGAACAAGATCGGGGCTATACGTAGGATGCTCGAGGACTTCCCACTTGAAATTTTGCAGCGTCTCATTTGTCTTGTTGGCAGTATGGGGATGCACGTTGTCATGCAAGAGCAACACGCCTGGTTCTGACAGCAGCCCAAAGGATTTTATGCTGCTGGTTTTCAGGGGCTTGTGAAACGATGGGACAAGTGCCTCAATGTACAGGGAGATTATGTTGAGAGATAAAAGCATTTTTCAAATCAGTACTCTCATTTGTTTAAGATCTTTATGCATTTGTAACTTACTTATTGACTTACCTACATATATAACCTCTACAGTGAAACATACTCAAGTGCCCTGTCAGTGAATTGTAAATATAATTCTTTTCAATTCTTTCTTATGTAGTCAATGACATTGGTGTTTATAAATTGTGTATGTTAAATTATATATCTTTTCTCATCTACTGTATGATGTTAGAACCATAAGCTTCATCACACATAACCCAAAAGTCAGTTACTAGAGCCACTCCTAAGCCATGTGAATCTGATCCAAATTACCGAGACATTCTTAAAATCCATTTCAATGTTACTGTGTTGTGTGCATCTCTGTCTTCCATGTCGTCACTTTACAAGTGCTGACCTAATCAGAATGCTGTTGTTTGTTTCTCGTTTGTTGCTTGTAGTTCAAAGGGGAGAAACAAGAAATATGTACATAGTTTTGGTGGTGAAATATCTTTGAAAGAACTGCTTGGATCTCACCAGTGGCAGTGCGATCCCTCAGTAGCTGATTTGCTTGTACTGGAAGAACTAGTTAAATGGCATTTGTGATATTATTTATGTTTTTGTGTGACTTCATTATCTATGTTCTGTCCCACTTCTCTGGGTGCTTCAACAGTTACTTTACTCAAGACTGGATGCATGACACTCTTGTGACTGTTTACCTAGTTATGTGTTCATAAATAATGTGTATTGACAATTGATTTTCCCCTGGTTCTTTGTATAATTCAAATTTTACTTTTGCTATTATGTTAAATATAGTCATTACCAGCTGTTACTCAGAATTGTTGGTTAAGATCAGACTTTTACAGAAATTAGGTAATCTCCATCATAAAATTTATGAGTTAGACTTCTCAGTTAGTATAGCTACAGGCTGGACATCCAGGGTTCAATTCCTGGTGGAGGCAAGACATTTTTTTCTTCTCCACAGTGTTCAGACTGGCCCTGGGAAGCACCCAGCTTCCTATACAGTGGGTTCCAAGGGGGGTAAAAGGCCAGGGCTTGAAGCCGACATGTCCATGTAATGCCGAGGTCAAGAATAATGGAGCTAAACCTCCACTCCCACACATGTCTTCATGGCATATTGTTTAGCTAATTAAGCAAGGGGGCCAACTTACCCTTTTATCTTATTTATCTTGAAATTTTGTTTTTATGAACCAGGTCATGGCCACATTCAGAGGCGACTGTACCATATCATATAAATTGTAATTTAACATCACGCAAGTAATTCTTGTTAATTGGCCGTGTGTATGCCATTGAAAAATTGTCTTAAAAGTAAGGAGAAATAAAAATGTTAATATGAAGGCCGTGTCTTATGCAACTGTATCATTATGCGGTCCAGTCTGAAACAGTATACTCTATTGTTCAATAGCATCACATTTCATGAAGTCTCAACTTTCTGCTATCCACTAATATTGTTTCTGAGACATGGTTGTCCCCTGTGTCCAAACAACCATACCATATCAAATTTGCACTTGGATTGTGCTGGTATGTCATCTTAGACTTTCTGTGGTCTTTCTGTAACAAAAGAATGCATTTTATTTATTAATGTTCTCCAAGGAAAGTCTAAAAATAAGGTATTCTCTTATAATCATACTGGGGCTGTGCCATAGCTCAAGCGGTTAGTCGCTGGCTTCCCGGGTCTGGGCAAGTGGGATTTATGGTGGACAAAGTGGTGCTTGGGCGAATTTTCTCTGAGTACTTCAGTTTCCCCTGCCATTCTTCATTTCACCAAATTCTCCATCATCATAATCACCCAGGGCAGGTACAATAGGCCAATCAGTGGCCGCCGTGCCGAGTGGACCCAGCTGGGCTTAAAAAAAAATTTATAATGATACTGCAAGCAGCAAGGACTTTTGACTGTCTCTGAACTAGGTGACAGTACAACTCAGATGACAATACTCTTAATAACTGAGTGATATTAAGTGTTGAATGCAGCATGGATAGTGGATATTTCCATATTTTTTTGATTATCCATTGTTTTTAATTATACATTATACTTCTTCCTGCTTTTGTTGCAGGTGAGAGTTCAGTGTATCTTAAAAATCATCCCACTCACCCAGTGCCATGGTCTCCTCACTTGCGCTTCTACGAAACAGTTCATTATTTAACTGTTTATTGTTTCTTGATTTCCTGTACTAATTCATGGGTCATTTTCTGAAACACTACTATGATCACTTTACCTCTTTTTTCACAATTTGTAATTGAAAGTTGCCTTAGGCAGCTGTGCAGTGGGGCTTGGTTGCATAACACATGTGCCCGACATGAATGTTAGGGTTTGGTACCAAGTTATTCCATGGAGAATTTGTAATGAGATCTGTGATCTGTGAATTTTTGTCCAATTTTTCATTCCCACACCTCAATGTATGCAACAAAATAGGTTTATTGATGAGAAGAGATATTTCATGTGGAAGGAAGTGGTACAGGAAGCAGTTATGATGTATTTTAAGCTAGTTTTTTTTAGCAGACCTCCTTCCTCTGTCCTACGGCTGGAGAACTACAGATACTTGAAATCCAAGCTGTCAAGGGACTGCTGTACTTGTAACAAGCCAACTAGTCCACTGATGCTTAAAATAGGCTTAATTTTTTTTTTTCATTTATTTACATATTAATCCTTTTCATACTGTTGCTGACAGTTGAATAACATATATTTCACAGGATGGTGAAGCAAGAGTTCGCGTTGAGATTCATCCAGTTGAGGTAACAACTGTGGACAATGACGACATGGGTCTTGCGTCACCTTCTGATCCAGTGAGAGCTGAGAGTATGCCAGTTCCCGATACAGCACCAGTACTTAGCTTCTTGTCTGGAAAGAACTGTTTAGATGGGGTTAGTCTGTCTGCATTACATTACTCATAAGCAAAGTATTCAGGTCAGTTATGGCAATTTGCTGCTGAATACATGCAGTTCTGATGCTAAATGAACGTGTTGCAATGTTTGTATCACCTTTAACAAAAAAGATCAGTCATTTTGGTTACAGTATAAGTGTTTGATGTCTTTTTGCTGTGTTATATGTCTCATAGGTCTAAATAGTAAATAGTGTTGATATTAAATATTATCTGGCTATCAGAACAAATCATGCACTAACATTTATATTTGTAGTTTATTTGATGACATTGCCACGCTATTTAAGATTGAATGCTTGGATGATAGTAAATAATGAATTGAGGAGGGTGTAGGAGGAAGTGGTCATGGATAAATTTAACATATTATCTTGATATTTGTGTGGTGGGACAGGAAAACAATGGGAAATCCCGGTTAGGGTGTCCTGTGTCCCAGCTGAGGTCCAAACTGGACACCTTTTGAGTAAAAAACAAATGTTGCTTGCTTGTATCATGCATTAAAGTTGAGGAAATAAGTCACTGTACTGATGTCCTGGAAAGATGTCTCATGTATGGTGGAGATGTTAGCACCCAGGGCTTTTCACATTATTCATGCGCTACTGTTTCCCTCCAGTTCTGTCTGGCCCTCCATCAGCCAAAAGTACTTGCATCTAGCAGATTATCATAGTTATCATTGACAGCATTCATATTGTGGCACGTAGACCTGTTGCTAGGTGAGGACTGTGTGATAGGCAACTATACAACAGCCTGCAAACAACAGAGGGACAGTGTTTACTGCGCAGTCCACTAAGCAACAATTGAACAGCAGCAGAGGAACAGTGTGTTCTGGGCAGCCTGCAAAGAGATGTTATAAGCAGGACAATTGGAGCAATGAGTTAGTTGTGGGACAGTCACCAACCGGTGAGAATGTGAGCACAGAAGCAGAGGACATTATTGGGATCTGTCACCAGGCAATGACTGGTGAAGACACAGCAGACTGAGAAGACTTAATGCGTGTTATAATGAACTGCAGAGTGTGTGAATTAGCAATAACAGTATAGTTACTTGTAGTTATGAGTTGTGAGTATAAATGTTCAATAAATTCAACTACCAATCCAAACCCTGTTTATAGTCACACCCATAAATGTGACAATACGACCAGAAAGGCTGGGCAACTGAAGGGGAATACATACAAGGAAATGTGTGGGAGCTGCAAATGTATGAGTAATAGCTAGTGGGAGGTGTGGAGATGGGAATTGATAGATTGTTGTTTCCTATGCAGCATGACTTGACATAAGGCATAACTATCTCTTCTGACTAAATGGTCAAATGATTTTCAGGTAGCTCTCAGGTGATAAGACACTATATGCATGGGAGCGATGAAATCTATACCGCAGAATGTAGTTGTGATAAGGACATTAATTTATTAAAGTATAAATTTCAGCTTTGGTGTCCAAGAAATGTGTAATTTTCAGGGCCTCACTGATTAGTGTGGCTTCCCAATAAGGAGTTCACAGTCAATTTAAGTTAGATAAAGAAATGAGATTTTTCTGTTTCTTTGTGTATAAGTGTTAATATTTCTTTTGCTTACACAAACATTTATTGCAGGGATCAGGGTGGTGGAAATACCAGTTCTGTTATGGAATCAGCGTGGATCAGTATCATGTGGAGAAAGATGGGACAAAAACAGTAATCCAGCTGGGCAAGTTTGACAAAGCAAAACATTTAGACTGGTTGGAGAAAAACCCTCACAAACGGCCCAAGCCCCGTGCCCACCGCAGGCAGATCTCACATCTTTATTCTGATGGCACACTGTGCGACAAGACAGGGCGTCCACGACAAACTGAGGTTGTTTGTAGTAATGAGTAGAGAAAGAAATATGTTGGAGAATGTTACTGTGTAGTGCAGTATCTGTTCTCTTCCCTATCCCTGGCTTCTAACCAGGCCATTTTCTGGCTCTTTGCTGCCCAATCCCCGCCCCCAATTTTCTCCTGTATTACCTACCTGCACTCAGCTTACCCATTTCTAGTCCAAATGTGGAGGTAACAGTTTGCTTAAAAATACTAGTAACTGCATACAAGGCTTTGTGGTATGATAGCCCAGAAGGCCATTATACAGTGCATTCAGTTAAGGAGGAGGCTTCGCAACACTGCTGACCCGGCCCAACATTCCTCATGATTGCTACTGTAACTGCTGACAGCAGAATGAGTCATTAGTGCTGATAAACGCATGCCGTTACAGTAGCAATCTGTGAGGAATCTTGGGCCCGGTGAATGGTGTTGCGAAGTTTCCTCCTTGATTGAACACCCTGTATTAATCTGTTCTGGAATGGAAATCCATAATCTCAGTTGTTCCTACTCATCACCATCATTGGCTTGACAGTCCTGTGTGGACTGTGGCCTTCTTCAGAAGCTTCAGCCAGTCTTCCCTATTCATTGCCACATTTATCCAATTGTGCGATTCCAGGACCCTGATGTCCTGGATCATACCATCCTGTCTTCCAATTTGAGTCCCTTCAGGTCTCATATCAAACACCTTCTTGACTGTCCTGCAGTTTTCCATATGTATAATATGTCCAACCCCACTTAATTTATTTTTGTATATTTAGTATTATCTGGCTCATTAAAGAGCTATAAATTCATGGTTACATCTCTTCCTCCATGTACCTTTATCTTGCACTTCTGAAAAAGTGCATTTGAAAACTTCTTTCAAATAGACCTAATTAACTTTCATCTGCCTCGGATAGCAGTCAGGCCTCAGAGGGATATGAATATAATACTGGTCTTGCAAGTGAATTATTGCTATTAATGGACATTTTTCAGAATGTGTCATTTTAAAGAAGATGCAGTTTTACACATAGGCAAGTTGATATAGCATGTAGGCTACAAGCTGGGTGACCAGGGAGCTTTTGTTCAATTCCTGGCAGGGCAAGAGATTTTTTTCTTCACAGTGTCCAGTCTGGCTGTGGGTTCCACCCAGCCTCATATACAGTGGGTACCAAGGGCTGTTCCCTAAGGGTTAAAATGCCAAGGGTATGAAGCTGACCAGTCACCTCCATTTAGTGCCAGAGTCAAGAATGACTCCACTCCCTCATAAGTCCTCACAGTGGTGCTTAATTAATTAAGCCCATGTAAAGTATTAGAGGCATGTTCATTCTAGGTTTGGTGAGCAGAAGCCACAGTAATGTTGTTTATCTATCCATATAAATTAAGAAAAGCAGATTGAATGCTTCTGTCTTGGTAGTACAGTTCTTTTTATGCATGTCATTGAGAAGGTTCACTATAGTAAATTAAATGTTTTAGGATTTTATATCACAAATTATGCCAGCATACTGTTAAAGGAGAAATCAGTTGGACTTTATGATAACGGAATTTTTGATCCTGTATTTGGGCTTTGTATTGCCGTTTTCTGTTCAATTGTAATCATTTGTTGTTTCAGGTAAAGCTAAAATGTTTGGAGAACACCTCTAACTTTGGAGCTGTAGCACTGTATCTTCTAGAACCAAAGACTTGTGAATATATATTAGGTGTAGAGTCTCCATTAATCTGCAACATATTGTCACGAGCTGATGAGAATGGACTTGTGAAAATGACTGAAGTGGATGACATTGCTGATGAAGTAATAGTCTCGTCTGAGGATGATGAAGATTCAAGCAATGAAGTTACAGACAGTTTTGATAAAAGAATTTCCAATGGAGATGACTGACATAATGTATCTGTATTTTCTTTTGTACAGAGCTAAAAGCATTTCAGGTCCACGTGAGCTTTTGTTATTTCCTGTACATATCTGTTTGTGAATATCTGTTGCACAAGTTAATCTAAGGGGTTCAAATTCTTATACTACTGAATATTAAGTTTACAGTCTTCTGAAATATGTCATTATGCAGTGTGTTAGATTGGTACCAGTGTTTCAGAGGGATCTGCTACCTTCATGTTCAAGGTAGAAGAATAGATGTTTTATGCTGAAGATGAAGGCAGCCAGCTCCTCTGAAACACTTGTACTTATCTATCAAACTATGTGTCATCACATCACAGAAGACCAGAAATTGTACAGTTTTGTCTTTTCTCCATCAACACTGCTCTAGCTTGGCTGTCTTTCCAATGATGCATAAAATATTTGAAAAATTTGCAGCAAATATCTGTGTATAACATTGATTTTGTGATGAAGGCAAGTAGTTTGTGAGCTGGCGCTCTGTGGTATGGCTGTAGTTAAAACACTTCCAGATACACATGGAATAGACTTGTGGGGATTTGTCGTTACTCCAATGACAACCCACTTCTTCAGAAAGTTTGTAGGTCCTGAAAGGACTGTTGGCTGCTGGGATGTTTGGCTGGTGAAGTAGCGCTACATATGCCGGTAGAGATGAGATGTTGGTTGCGGCAGCTGAGGCAGTGGCCTGGTCGCAGTGCGGCCGTTGCTGGAAGACGTCTGCTTGCGGAGCGCGGTCGCAGGAGTGGAGAGGCGGTAGCTACGCCAGTTGCCCAGTGAGTCAGGTGTGCCATTGGAGAGCCAAGGCAGCCGTGCTTGACGCAGCGAAGTGCCGATGCCTCCGAAGACCGGGCGCTCTGTACAGAGTGTGATAGCAGACTGGCTGGTGTGGTCACTGCTGCTGACTGAATGCATCTGGATGTGGAGCACAGTTGCTGGAGTGGAGAAGCGGTAGCTACGCCAGTTGCGCAGTGAGTCGGGCATGACTGCCGGAGAGCTGAGGCAGCCCAGTGAGTCGGGCATGCTGTTGGAGAGTCGAGGCGGCCATTCCTGGCACAGAGCAGAGCCGAAAACTCCGACGACCAAGCGCCGAGGACGAAGTGTGCTGGCTGATGTTGACCGAGTGAAGGCTGAATGAAGACTGTTGGTAGACTGATGCTGCTGGGTTGGAGCTGCTCCTTTTTATGCAAAGCGTGATGGAGGAGCAAAATTTGCAGAGCACTGATTGGCTAGTGCGTGTAATGATCTGGATGAGGCTAGACAGTGAATGCAGTATAAATGCGAACATTGGAAGCAATTTGATTGGTTAGCGCACGTGATGGTGAAAAGTGAGTTGAATAGTGAGCGTTGTAGAAATATGTGGGATGTTCCCACAGACTAATGTCCTGGAAGTAGCTACTTGTTCTTTTAATCACAGCAATGCAGTTCACATACCCATCATAATCTTGTGGAGCTGACAACAGTAGACCTCAGGATCTAACCACAGACACCACAAACCTTAATGCCCCCCCCCCCATTCCCCAAGTTATATAAAGAAATTAGCCTTATCAAGATTTTCTCAGCAATTAATAACAGAATTTCCATGAACTGAAATACAAATATTTGTTACTGGCATAATTCTTAAAGAAATTCTGTTTATGGTGTGTAACATGTTACTGCCAGTTAATGATCACAGTAGGAAGAGAAGAGCAGCAGAAATAAATTTTCATTAAACAAAGAAAAGAGTAAAATTGTGGTACTTCATACAGAACTTGGCTCACCTTTGCTCCCACCCCAGCCTTGGAACCAGCACAGGGTCCAGGACTCTGTGCTTCAATTTTATCAACTATTCTACACGTACTCCATGGCATGCTCTTTCTTGCTCATTGAAGAACTTGTGTGAAGGGCTCTGTAGCACTTTGAATCTTAACATATTTTGCAGAATTCATTCAGGGCCTGGTACAGTGACTCTTGCTTTTCATCAGCATGCTAGATGCTGTGCAGTTTTTATGCCAATTAGGCTGTATTTTAATCTGAGCATCATATTTATATGTCAGACCTCACTGTGGAATCTCTGTGCCATATATTCTGCGGTGTATCAATAAATGAGACAGGATGAGTATTTACGTCATGCCAAAGTTAGTCCTTTTGATTTGAGCCTGATATTTTGATCTCCCATAGCATCCAGCACCATGCCAGTGATGAAGAAATGATGATACAGTTTTTCATCAAGCTTGCCCCAAAATTTATTGGGACACCAGCGAATTACAGAACATTTTGGAAGTTCTTACATTATGCTAGACACAGTCTGTAAATAGAAGCTCTGTTGCATTGATTTTCTACATGCTTTGCTTGCTTAAATTGCTGACATGCTGGTACTCCAGCAACATTGTATTGTCTTTTGTGCTTTGAAGCATTTCTTCTCTTTTAACCTTTATCATCTGGGAANCTGGCACTACCAGATTTTCTGAGAAGTAGTGGGTCTGGAATGGGATCCACTCAGCCTCGTGAGGATAATTGATGAGCTGTTTCAAGGAAATAGCGGCTCTGGTCTAGAAAACTGAAATTAATGACAGTGGGGATTTGTTGTGCTGACCACGTGACACCCTCTATCTGCTAAAGTTGGCACTAACTTCGCTCACAAGCGGCGGTCGCTCGGTCGGTATCATCTGGGAACAGGATTTTTAAATCTCCCAGTGCTGCAGGTTGGCAATAGTATTGGACGTAACATTTTTTCTTAGCGTTGGTACCTGCGTTTTAACTCAGAGGTAGTGGTATTAGTTCAAAAAGTGCAACACTCAGCCAGCTGTATGTACCATTGCAATAGTGAAAAATAGGGCTACAACACATTAATATTTGTTAATTTTCCAAGCTTTAAATCAAAACATTAGGTGCCTGAATGACAAAATAGTTTAGTGATGCTTCGATAGTGTAAATATTGTTATTATTTGGTATGATTGTTGGCAAGTTTGAGTCATAGTCATCTGCTGTCCTGTTTTGTTGGTGGTCATTTAAATGATAGGATTATAAAGAAATTTCTCTTCAGCTCAGTATTAAAATAATTACTAGAAATTCAAATTCAGTATAAGCACTTCTATAACAATTTTCAAATCTTTTTTCAGTAAGTTTAGTTGTAATATCGTGGGACTGAGAGTATAACAAACACAATTGATAGCCACTAATTTGGATATTTTGTAGAACTATGTTTAGAATGATGCCCATCACAAGTATGGAAACTTTCTGCTGGTGAATGATATACCAAGTTCCACTATGCAATTCTTCCATCAAGCTAAATCATACTTGTAGATAAACTGAACCTATCAAAACTGGATTGAATAATAACAAGAATGTGAACCATTATTTTGTCTGCAAGATTGTAAATGAATATTTGTAAATTAACAATTCTTATAGAATGTTTTTTGTCTTCTTTAGTCACAGCATGTACCACTGTACATTGTAAATATTTATGTGTGTATTTAATTGTAGGAAGTGAAAAAGAACCGGTGATATTCTGTTATGGTACTATTTTTCTGAAAATAAAAGTGATGATTTCTTTTCTGAATGTCTGTGAAAGGTAATTTCTGAAACTGTGGTTGTATACTAAATATAGGACTGTAATTGAAATGTGCTTTTTGGAAACATGTATCCTACCCTTTTTCTATGAGTAATAAAGGAATTTACATCACTGTCATACCAACTGTGAAATTAAAGGAATGTACTTGTAAATGAACAGGTATGTTCAGAATGCAGGTAAACCTCGATATGTGCATTTTTGATCAATGAGAGTTCAGCCAATTATGGAACAAAAATTTTTTAATGTCATTAAAACATGTCACCTGAAAACTGTGGTGCCAGATTATGCTTCTCCCATGCCATTATGTTGCCATAAGCTCAGTCTTGCTTAGGCCACCATCCAAGGCAGGCATGTGAAAGCAGTATCTTCCCATTACCATATTTCATGCTAAGTATGAGGGGTAGTCAAATGAAAACGGGTGAGAAGCCAAAACATATTAAAGAACATTTCTTACCTCAAAAGTAAGCTCCAAAACTGTTAACACATTTATCCTACTGTGAGATAAGACGGTCAATTCCATCCTTGAAAAAGCTTGTGGGCTGTCTATGGAACCACATCTTTACCCAGCCACACATGTCTTCGTCCGATGTCCACGAATGTCTCTCTTCAGGTCTCCAAAAATGTGGAACTCACATGGGGAGAGATGTGGCCTGTAGGGGTGATGTTGAAGCACTTCCCAACCAAATCTCTGTAGCGTATTCCTCACAGAGTTGGCAGTGTGGGGGGGGGGCGCACATTATCATGAAAAAGGATAATGCCGTCGGATAGTGTTCCAGGGCGTTTTGACTTTATGGCACATCTCAGTTTCTGCAAAGTGTCTTCATAGCGCTGTGCACTGATTGTGGCCCCATGCTCGAGAAATTCGACAAGCAGAGGGCCCTTGCAGTCGAAGAAGAACATCATCACTTTACTGGAACTAGTGTGTACGGTTTTGGAATTCTTTGGTGGGGGGAATTCACGTGTTTCCATTGTTGGCTCTGCCGTTTGCTCTCGGGTTCAAAACGGTGGCACCAAGTTTCGTCCCCTTTGGCAATACGGGACAGAAAAGCATACTCTTCCTCATGGTATTGTTGCAAGTGACCCAGTGATGCAGCCATTCTCTGAGGCTTCTGTTCCTCCGTGAGTTGATGTGGAACCCACTGCGTGCAGATTTTGAGGTACAGCAGGTGTTTTGTCACAATAGCATGTATGGAACCGTGACTTATTATTTCTTCTACAGTGATCCGTCAGTTTGCCTGGATATGACCATCCAACACAGCAATAACATCAGGAGTGATGACACGATGAGCCTGTCCTGGGCGAGCATCATCTTGCAGTGACACATGTCCCTCTCGGAATCTCTTGTGCCACGTCAGCACACGCGAACGTGACATGCTGTGTTCACCGCAAACAACAGACATGCGACGATGAATTTCTCATCCTCCTTCAGAAGTCAAAAAGCGCACTACACTTCGCTGTTCTTTACCCGCCTCCGTTACTGATGTTGGACGAGCACACATAGCGCTAACCTTACTTCCAGCACAATAAACAAACGACTAGTGTGCAAGGGCACGTTGTCACTGTGCTTTCCCAAGTACTCCTGCTTATATGTAAATCTATGTAATGTGTTTAATGCTATCTTATTGTGACATATGTCATCGACATATCTATAATATGCGATTATTTCGTGCGCTACCAGGATTGGTTACTAATATTCGTGTTCCATGTGTTGTATAAAGGTCTCGTGTAATATTCCCGATCTTGGAGCACCCATGGCTAGCCCTTTTGTTTGTTTATAATACAGGGCTACTATAAATGATTCGTTCGTTTTTAAAACGCTATATTTCCCAAAGTATTATACATAGAGAATGATTGATATACGAAAAGAACCGTAAACTCACCAAGTTTATACTATGTGCACCGTTTGGCAGCACGAATTCAGTGCCTTTACAAAATGGCGATAAAGCAAGAAAAGAGTTTTTGTTTGTTGGAATATGCGAGGTGTTCGTCTGTTATAGCAGTGCAACACGCATTCAAAAGAGAGTACGGAAAAGAACCGCCATGTAAACAAAGCATTTTGCGGTGGTATCGGCAATGTTCGTCGCTACCTAAACAATGGACTTCGGCATCGCTGGATTGGGCGTGTTGGTGAGGATGACGTAACTCTGTTCACTTGGCCCCCCATATCACCTGATCTAACGTCTTGTGACTTCTTCCTTTGGGGGTACATTAAGGATCGTGTTTACGTACCCCCACTGCCAAGAACACTAGTAGAGCTGAGGGAACGCGTCAATGCTGCAGTGATGACCATTGACAGGATGATGCTACAAAATGTGTGGAACGAGCTCGACTACCGACTGGACGTGTGTCGTGTGACACAAGGGGCACACATAGAACATTTGTAGAGNTTATGACACTGTGGTTGCTGAGATGATTGACCGGTGAGGTAGCGCGGCGCGCGCCGGTAAGGAGAAAGGCTAGTGAATGGCGAGTGGCCTGGCCGCAGTGCGGCCGTGGCTGGAGGTTGCTTGGTTGCCGTGCGGCAGCGTGAGTTGGAGGTTGCTTGATCGCTGCGCGGCAAATGGCGGAGGTTGCTGCTGGTGGTGAAAGGCTAGTCGAGCGCGGTCGTAGGAGCCATGAGGCAGTGGCTACGCCAGATG